TTGATAATCGGGGACCTAACCCTAATAATCCATGCTGACAAATGGTTTTTAATTCATATTTTGGTTTCTTGTTTCATCCACAGAAATAAAAAAGTACCTAATGTCAATGATAGAAAATCACCATGCTCTGGAGTTTTGCTTTTATAAAAGTTCAATTGCTTTGAATATTGTTTTGCTTTCAGGACTGAAATTTCTCAATAATTTCAGAATTTACAGAATTTCAGAATCTGTTTCTTGTAGCAAAGTCTTTTAATTGCAAAATGGTGTGTTATTCAGTCAAAACGTCTTAATCTAAGAAGGTGATTGCTTAGAAGCTAACAAGGCATCAGGAACTTCTCCCATCACCCCCACCATTCCCAGGCCTCTCCCTCATACGACGTCATTAAGGTTGATTTCCACGAGGCGAATTTCGCATCGAGATTGTCTTTTGATTTCCACGAGATTGCGAATTCGCTGCGAAATTATATTGATTCCCCCAAAACTCAATTTTAAGGCGCCCCTTTTCAGAACTGCACGCATGGCGAATGTTCCAAGATTGTTTTTTTACAAATCAAGCAATATTTTGCCGCGAAATATTTCGCCGCGAAAAAGTAGAATTCTTTTCTCCTCTCTTGCGAATTCGCTGCGAAATCAAAAATCAAAACTGCGCATGCCTTGAAATCTTCATCGGCGATTTCACCACGAATTCGCTGCGAAATTAGCCTCGTGGAAATCAGCCTTTACAAGGGATAAATCTCCAACTCTGAAGCTATTTGGCTGAATTAATCTCTGCGTTTCTGTTTCATTCGTGTATCAAAACTTATATTGTACCCTTAATCTGCTGAGATATAACAAAAAACTTACTGGTTTACGATACAGTGCCATCCTCATTATGTAATGACTATTTATTTCCTTGTTTCCTCCACTCCTTTGGGTAGACATCTAAAAGTTTTTCTTTAGCTTCAGTTTGTTTATCTTCCATGTTTATATCCGAATGATGCTGTTTCTCAAAGCTAAACTCTGTTTGCTGATCTGGTTTTGTTTCTTAGAAACTACAGTAGGTCGTGTTACTCTGTGCACTGATAGTGTTATTAGCAAAGTACTGTAGACACCAGGTTAAACACATTCGAACACATGCTAGAAGAATTTCATCGACGTCAAGAAAGAAGGCGGTTTTATTGCAAAGACCATGATGATGATAACTGAAAAATAAAACTACATAATTCCAAGTAGCACACCCAAGTCACGCCTTGAGTATAACACAATTTCTTCACAGGCTAAAAAATTGTTATCGCCAACTCTACCCTTTCAACGATGTCTTTAATTTAACTTTTATATACAAATGCGGCGGTTACATCCATTTCCTTTGAAACCTTCACCGCCCTTAACAAAAACAGCCAATGTACTCATCCTCAGGGGCGTCACTTGAGGGGGTATGGGGGGGGTGGTTCACCCCCCAACCACGAAAATTGGGTCCACCCTTCTCGCGAGCCAAAAGTGATTTTCGCAGGGCAAATGTTCTCTACCAATGGATCTTATATGTTGTTTTTCTTTTATAACTGTATGAAAAAAGTATGTTATGCTTGGAATTTGTCTGTTCCAAACGTTAAATGATAAAGACTACCAGTGACAGAAATTGGAATTGCCAGTTTAAGCTTGGATTAGATTTCTAAATAGATTCTGATTTATTTTCACTGTGGACTTAAGTGTTACACCCTTGATCGATATTTGCGTCTTATTTTAATAACCATACAAAAAGACAAACACCGGTTGCCAGAAAACTAAGAAAAAAGATGTAATCCTAACCGGACGTTGCCATACAGCCTTCTGCCGGGAGAGGTCTGGAATCCAGTTTGTTGCTAAAAAAGTATGCCTAAATAAATGCGGCGCGTGTCAGAGCAAAAATACTAGAGTACATTAAATGTTGCTTGAAAGCTTGTGACTGTAAACCGAGTGTGACACTGTAAACGAGGCTTTTTGGGTCTAAATTTTAAAGAATAGTTTTGCATAGTTGTGTATTAATTTGATCTGGCTGTAACCAGTAGTGTGATTTTAAGCGGAGTCGACTTTATACTGTTTTTAATATTTATTTTCTTTTTTGTGGATGATGTAGTGTGTATTGTATAAATTCCTGTAGGTATTCAAGCTTGTGTTGCCAGACAAAAATTATGTCATCGATAAATCTTTTCTAAAGTATTTACGACGCCTCATCGGGACCATCGTATTTGTGGTTCGTTATTGTTAATGAGAATGTCTCTCGATGTTTGCGTCAGTCATTTTGTTTGTCATCGTGCCATCTCTATTTTAGTTGTTTTTAGTCATTTGCCGTTAATTTGTGTCATTAGGGTTTTGTGTGCGTCACTCATGTTGTTAAAAGCATATGTTCTTCCAGTGCAAGTCCAGTCGAGTCGAAGTTGTCGTTGAACGAAGTTGTTATTTTGCATTTGTTGGTTGCCACTAATTTGTACTATCCCTGCTTTAAAGAATCTTGATTTAAAAAACGCTATTGCGAACTGGAGTCTGGTTTATGATCTTTATCTGCCCTGTAAAACTTAGTAGTTTTACAGATGTCAATAAAATTTACCATTACATTCTTTTTTATAAGAACAAGTTAATTGAAGTTCAGGCTGGCTGTTCTTATTTTTTTCGAAAATCTGAGGATGGATTATTGTTCGTAATTTGTTCTTAAATTATAAGCTGTGCAATTACTAGCAATTGCGCTCTAGGGAAGTGTTCAATCCTCATTTGCCAACAAAGTGTGTAAGACATCCTTTTTTTCCGACAACTTTGAAAGTTTGCCGAATAAGGACCCCCCTAGATGGCAAAAAACCTCGTCGTTTTTTAGATGAAATATTATTCAAAACTAAATTTTACAGCAGCTCAGCCTCCCCTTGGTTTTAACTTTTGACCAATTTAGAGGCTTGTGTTCTCATAAAATTGTTCTTATAAAAAAGAGAGTGTAAAGGCAATATAATTATGTTTGAGAATAAAGATCACGATTTGTGATATTCTATATGCAGCGGGGTTGTTTCCCCATAATGATTTTTGATGGCATTGAGGGAAGCTTTGATACACTCATCTTAAAAAACGTTTATGTATAATGATTTTACGTATTGGTGTAACGAAATAAATGGGATGCTAGTGTACATCACGAAAGCGTGTTGTAAAAAGTAAGGGCTGGAGGGAGGAGGGTTGCTCTTTAACTTCAGGATGGAGGGCTGCCACATTCATTAAAAAACTTTCTCTTGCTTGTCTCCCCAAGGTTAGGCAAACACATCGGTGAACTTGTGGACACAATAAGCAAGGGCCTAGTGGGTACGACTTACTTTAAAAATTACTTTAGTGTTACGGGAACCGAAGGCCAGCTTCCCACATTTTCAGTTTTTGCCAGGGAAAATTCTTCTGCAGGGCAAGTGTGCAAACACCCCCCCCCCCTCCCCAACAAAAAGTGACGCCCTTGCTCATCCTCCTATATTATGCAAAGAAAAATTGGCAAATATGTGGAAAAACATCACCTATACACCCAATACACACAATAAGCTCATGAAGCAGCTAGCAAAGGAATAATGAGGTACCCAGGTACACCGGAGCATATTAGTAATTAGCCTAATATACATATTTTACAAGAAAGATCAGGCGAGAGACCAACATAACTTAAACCTATGAAATCAAATGATCATGAATTAAATAAACATTGAATATCATAAATATAAATGACAATTAACGTCTATAAATTTGATGTTTATTGTATCAATTGTATGTTTGCTTTGTTGTTTTATTATAATTATTGGATATACTGAACAGTTCTTAATTTTAATCACAAACCACCTATCTTCTGACTCTTTTTGAAACGCATTTACCTATAAAAGTTAAGGACCATAGCTTATCTATCAGAATCCCTCCTTTTTTAAGCAGAATTAGTCCTCAAGTGAAATGGTCGTGAAATTTGAAACAGAGAAATTTAATTAAGTAAATGCTGATAACATTTGATTTTACGTTTTCCCTTTGGTGAATGATTTGAGACTGAGACTGTCATTGATATGTGTTTCAATGCGAATCCAAAAGTTGATATCAAATAATGTTATGAATCGTTTATTGCCCGCAACTCGCGCGCGATAGCGCGCGAGTGATTGCCCGCAACTCGCGCGCGATAGCGCGCGAGTGAAGGGCTTATAGTCTGCCCCGCGTATAAGTAGCATATGGAAGCTTCAGTTCATGTTGTCAGCACTTTGTCAGCAGATTTTGTCACTTTTCTGCTGCCATGACAACTGTCAATCAATTTCATTGTCAATCAATCGGCTTTGTCGAGGAGGTCGTTAACCGCCACCTCTTTCTGCGGAAGGCAATTATCTTCGGAGCGTTGCTTTGCCAAGACTCTGCTAAAGGCCTTCGGTTTTTTTGGCACGAAAACGGTGCTGCATCACAGCTCGGTTCTCCGCAATGGATGGAAGTTTTGATTCGAAGTTTTGGGAATCAAAACCAGTCGAATGCCACACCATTCTCCCAAAAACTCGAGACCATACGAGCAAAAGTTATGATTGTCATGATTATAGCCTGTACATCGCTGTACGAATCCTTTATCGCAATCGATTTTAGCTGTACCCGTTCTATCACGTGTCCATTTTCATACGTCTTTGTTTACTTCACGAAAACGAAAAATAAATGTCAAACCCTCGAAAAACTTCATGATTTTCAAAAGGGCGTTGGACTTAAATCAAAAGCAAACGGAACACCAAAAATTCTTGATAAAAAGAATAGTTTAGCATCAACTAAAGCAGCTGTTTTTATAAAATTGTGAAAACCCAAGATGGTGTCTTCTCCGAATGTCCTGACCTAAATTTTCAAAACAATCATTATCAAGGAACTAATTGTTTGCGGGCAGTACTAGCAAGAGCTATTTCTAGTATATATTTCTTTTTGCGCCGGGAAAATCATCCCAGCTTGCATTGAAGAATTTCGTCAACATCTGACATGAACCTTGTTGTTGACAGAAACAACAACAACCTCTTTTTTGCCTACACCAAAACCTGAAATCGAGACTTCCTCTGAATGGCTGCAAATAAACATTTTTAAAGCGTCTTTAAGGAATAAGGTTAAGGAAAAAGTTTTTTTGAAGAAAAAGAACTATGAATGAAAGAGAGACTTTTCTTCGTACTGAGAAATCAAACTGTTGTCCAATGTGTGGCAATGATGCTGACTGGGTGGAACTTAGGCCATATCAAAATCAAGTGTCTGGACATCACCGTGTTATGATTTTTGACGAAGAGACAATTTGCAAGCCTTTGATGTCAAAAGAATATGCTTTTTTCCAAAACGTTCCAACAGAAATCTTGAAGTTTGTGCCAAAAATGAAAGGTATGATGAGGCTACCTGTAATTTGGCTTTTGGATTAAAGATCTGTATTTTGGATAACCTTTGAGTACATCGTGTCCTTACTGTAATGCACTTAAAATTGAATTAATGAAACATGGTTTTTTGTTCATCCAGCAAACTTTCAAAGAAATATAAGACAATAATGCTAGGCCATCATAATTGCGAGTCTATTTAGTCCTTTTTATTGTCAGAAGAAGTTTGGATCCATTGGCCCGGCCTGGCACCCACTATGGTAGATGCGAATATTTAAAAAATATTCAAACGATTGGCAAAATCTTCCAAGATTTTGAAATTTGCTTCATGAAATTCATGTCTTGTCAATAAAGGGTGGACAGAAACTTTTGTGTTACCCTGTCCAGCTAGGAATTTCCATATCTTTTGCAAATGACTGGCCAGACATTGGTAGATGACATGAAAAAGAAAATTTGCTAATTTCAAATTCTTAATGTCATGCCTTCAAAACTGAATTTTAGATTTTGTGTTAAAGAAACACACTTTATTTTGTGAAAATAAGTTTTGAAATTATTTAAATCACTCAAAAGTAAGCCAATTTCATATCAAGGAAACTGTTTTTTACAATGGTCATCAAGGTCTATTTAGCAATCCTATTACAAAATATCTCATAATACAAAATGAGCATAAACTAAAATCTACTTGACGTACAAAGTCAGGGGTCGTGAGTTCGAGCCTCGCTCGGGTCGGTTATTTTCCCGCACTCTCTATTAATTAAAATCTACTTTGTAGAATTTAGGATGGCAGGCATGCTACACATCATTTATGGGGGGAATAATCTTGTATATGTGAGAGATTTTTCTGACCTCAAATCATGCTCTATCTGCTGGTTCACAACACTGGAATATTTTTGTTGTAAATTTATATTCCTGGAATACAAGCATTTGTTATGAACTAGCAAGTTTAGCAGTGCAGAAATATTTGCATATTATTGACTTAGAAGATAGATAAATATTTTTTAAAGCTAATGATTGCTCTGTGGCATTAGATGTGAGTCATATATACGTATAGATGTTCTCTTATAGTTAAGTTTTGAATTTTATCATTTTTATCTTCTCCAGGCATTGCAAAAGTTTTTGCCCAAACTGATGACAATGGACATGACCATTTATTCGCCATGCGAAAAACAAAAGAATCTGCCTCAATGTTAACTTGTGATTGCAAGGATAAAAGGTAAATATAGAAATGATAGGCACGTTATAATTTTTGGTTTTGTTTCTCGTGTTTCTTGTCTCCTTTTAATTTCATAGCTTTGAAGCCCATTTAAAGGTAATGTGTCCAGCTATAGCAAGCGACTCTGCGGGGGTTTTTAGAAACATGTGATTTTCCATGTCATCGCCCCAGTCATTACGGTCGTTCTGTTTATTTATCCTGCTGCGAGGTCAGCTTTTCATGTGAGCAGTTTTGCATTGCAAGAATACTAACCAATCGCAAACTGTTATTTTGATGGGTGGCTTGACAAGTTAGGTATACGCAGTCCTTTTATATGGACACATTACCTTTAAGGTACAAAGGCAGCTAAATTAAAAATTAATTGTAAGCTTTGGGTGGGTTGGTGAAGGGCTGTTGCCCCGGAGAGTTTTTGTTTTTTTGTTTTTAGCTTATATGGTCAAGTTGCATTTTAGTAACAGACAATCAGCTCTCTAACATATTTTTGAATACCCTGGTTTGTAAGGCTCTGGTTGAACAGCCATGCAGCATTTTATCACTGGAAAGAGGAATCTAATACTTCAAATGAAATTTTCATTGTTGAATTATTGAAAGACCACCAGTTTTGTGTTGAGTCACAAATGACAATGGGACTATCTTCTGCTGTACTGGATTATTGGGCTCTAGTACAGAGGCTGTTTTTTAATCATCTATTTTTCTATCATCTTATGTTTTACCATAAATCATTGAATTAGCCCCCTGGGGCTTCATTATTTTTTATATTTTTGGATGGGGGATTATTCAAGGGGGGGCTTATACGAGGGGGGGCTCATAAAATTATTGTAGACATTAAGAAGACATTATTAAAAGACCTTGTTTATTCTAGTAGGAATTTATTTATGAGTATTTAACTAATTACTACCAAAAGTATGGATTTGTTGTGGTAATTCAATAAAACACCATAGGCAACCTCAGATGGCAAAAATCATCAAATGGAGGGGTCCAATTCGAGGATTTACGGTTATTCGAGGGGGGGGCTTATTCTAGGGGGGGCTTATTGACAATTTGTAGTTCCAGGGTGAGGGCTTATTCGAGGGGGGGCTTTTTGGGGGGTGGGGCCAATTCAAGGATTTATGGTAATTGTTTTTATTGTAGCATGTTGGTTGCCTCTGCAACCTCAACACATGGTTTAGCAATAAACCACCAATGTAAATGGAAATACAAGGCTGGGCAAGGTAGGAATGAAATATGTTATTTTATGGAAGTAACTGCTAAACTTTTTCGTAAAAGACCAAATATTGGATGTTTTTGATAAGTCAATTAAGAATGCAGATGCATATATGATCAAGAAAAGGTTACAAAAGACCAATATGTTCGAAACTTTAGTGATATCAGTCAAGTTTCTGTCCTGAAGCTTATGGATGTTCTTCTTGATTTTATCTGATGCAGCTTAAACATGCTACTAAATTTGGATTACGTGTCTACAGGAAAAAGCCAGTTTTGTCCAAGCTGGGCTGCTTGAGTCAAAATTGTAATATTTTAAAGAATAATGAAAATTTAACAAGGACTATATATCTGCTAAAAATATCTAAACCAAATAAGATGTAGGATATCAGAGAAAGTTAAACAATTTAAATTATAATTCTTATTATACAGCTGTCTTGTAATGAAGTTTACTCTCTTGCAGCAGGTTAACATAAACAGTAATAACATAATTTAAAATGAAGTTAAAATTTTTGTGGCTTTGATGTTGATGATTCATATTTCCCTTAGATGAATCAAATCAAGAGCAAGTCTTTGATCAGCATCCATGGGTAAGGAAAGTGCAGCAAATGTCATTTGAAAAAAACATGCATAAAACAAAGGGCTCAGGTATTTTTTTAAAATTTTTAAAAATCTTTTAACTACAATAAAGACAGCGTTTTTATTTTTACTGAAGCAAAGTATAATCGGCTTAATGTGTTATATGTTAGCTTTCTATGATGTTTAAATATCAAAAGTTGTTTTCTTTTTTGGTTGTTACATTCCGTGATGATCGTTAGGTGTTATTTTAACCACATAACCATGGCGCATCAACATAGAAAACTTCGGGCTTTTACCGAAAATAACTGCTGCTATCTTCGGATGCTGAATATTTATCAGGCATAGGAACTTTTAAAGTTGCTATTGGAAGCTTTTATGCTTCCGAAAATTTTGCTTCCGGCATTTAGATATTATTTCATGAATTTTAAAGATGCAAATGATGGAGGAGAATTTTCTACTGACTATAGTTTAGATTGCTTTGATTTGTTAGAACAGGCTGTTGCCATAAGAAATTTGGATGTAAGTTGTAGTTGTGGTGGTGAATGTTAGTGTTAGTTAGTTTTTATCAAAGTGGCTGTTAGTTGATTCAAGCGTGGACACAAACACTGTTCCATTTCTATATTGGTTTGTTGATATGATCTTATAGAATTGCATCATTTAAACTTACTGATCTCGCGTACTCGTTTAAAGTTTTTCGGTGCTGTTGTCCTGCTTTCATGAATTGTTTGATTTAACAAAATTTGTTTGATTATTTGGCTCCATCTTTTATTCACTCCTTGCAATGCTTCTTGATATTCTTTGAAAAAATATATTGAATATTATGGTGTTTGTTTAGGCAACGAAATAATTGCTAGCAATTTTAACTTTTGCTGTAAATTTTCATTCTCGAAATGCAGAGCTTATTCTCTTGGAACATATTGGAGCCAAATTTAAAAGACCCTGTATTATGGACTTGAAAATGGGAGTGCGCCAATATGGCGATGATGCAACTGAAATAAAAATAAAAGATCATCAAGAAAGATGTGAAATGTCAACATCAAGCAGTCTAGGAGTGAGACTTTGCGGAATGCAGGTGCATTCTTGTTAAAATCTTTAGATTATATTGTTTATTTAAACCTTGAAATTTGTATTGAAAATAGCAATGAATTGATACCTTGCTCAATTGAACTTTATTATTAAAGGAGAATACTGAGCTCGCATTCCATCAAGTTGATTTTTAATGTTTTTTTTTATTAAGGTTTATGATCCAGCAAGTAACACCTACACATATACGGACAAGTATAGCGGGCGGAGGCTTGATGACATTGGCTTTGAGGAATGTTTAAAGCACTTTATGAATGACTCTAAGAGACCCGATGTCATACCAGCGTTCGTAGAATCACTTGAAGATTTATATGAGTCTGTACAGAGCTTAAACTTTTGCAGATTGTTCTGCAGTTCTCTTCTGTTGATGTACGAGGGTGATATCACGGCGAAAGGGGAGCCAGTTGCAGTACTCCGTATGATTGATTTCGCAAATGTAACTTTGTATAGTGAAAAGCACATTGGTCCCGATGAAGGCTATCTTTTTGGGCTAAGAAATCTAATAAGACTGTTTAGGGAAATAGCTGTTCCATTCAGATGAAAATCGCGGTCATAAAACGCATTTAAAGAAGAAGAAGATTATGATGCATTGGCTCTTGTTTTGGAGTAATCATATGGTTGCCCTCGCGAGAAAAGTAATTGCTTTGGAGGTACACAAGTTCACCATTGCACTGACCAGAGTTATCGTTTTTGAACGAAACGTGGTCGGAGGCAAGATACCAAAATCTTCGATTCAGCACGTTGTTTTGCACAGCCTTGTTACACATCACTATGAAGCTACTGATCATTGTCAGTCAATTAAGTGAACAATTATCTGTCTATTTTTAACATTGTATTTGATTTTTCTAATAATAATAGTTTTTAAGGATCTTATTATGGTGTTTCAATAATGAAATATTTAAGGTCATTGTTGTATAATATACTTATCAAATTTTGGTTTAATAAAGATCTGTATATTAAGAAATCTGTTCATTACGATCATGAAAGTTTTTGCTTTTCATCTCAGACACAATCAAGATTAGAACATTCCTTTTGTTGTTCTCTGCCCAACCTTATAGCTCCTTCTCGTATTGAAGTCCCCTTAGAAGAGGCTTTTATGACCTCGAACAACTATAAGGCAATCACCATATACCTAAGTTGTTTAAGTCATCTATAAATCAACTATTGGCCACTCAGTAAGCTTTTGAGCTGTATCCTGCTTATTGATTGGCCAATCGTAATACGGTTTTTTAGCAGCAATGTTGTCTACAATCTACAGCTATTTTATAGGAGCAACCCTTCAAAAGTATTTTCTGCAGTGTCGTCACTTTTTGCATATATCACACAGAAAGGCTGTGTGAAAACGTTGATTCTTTCCAGTAATTGTTTTGCACCGAAAACAACTAATCTTTAGATTCAACTCTTGCTCAGTAATCCAGTTGGTAACTGGAGGGTTTTATTTGTCAATATGAATGTACGTATACCACAGGCTTGAGGTAGCCCGTAAATAAAAGATTCTACAATATTTCAATAGCACATCATTGCCATCCTTGTTGAATTTATCGATCTCTTGATTTTCGTTTAAACAACTTTGATTAATTTGATTAATTCACTAATCCAATTAAAAAATGGATTCATAGCTAATTCTATTTTGATGTTCATTAATACATGAGCGGTCTTTGATGAAAAATGGAGAGTCTCTTTATAAGTTAAAAGTGCTCTGAAATTTTAAAATTTGAATTTAAATTGAGTAGACATTGCCTAGGATTAAAGAATACGATTATGTCAGCTGTAGAAGCGATTTCTAGTGCTTGGACTCACTGCCCAAAATAATCACATATAATTATCTCCTCTTTGGAATCCCACCGGCAAATTTTTTCCAAAGGTGCTACCATTAGCTTTCTTGAAAAGATATATCTGCTCATAAGGACTCTCTACGATGTTTCCAATGTAGGTTGGCTTTCTGCGCGTGATAAGCCGAGCCTCCTCTTTTTCACGTGTTATGAATCGTTGGCCATTCTTTCTCGCCTCAACCAAGAAAAAGTTTGCCAAATACTGGGATACACGAATGGCATCTGGTGAATGGTCTAAAGCTAGAACTGGATTCCACACGAATAAAGTCTTTTCTGGATGCCATTGGAAACAGTAGATTGGGTATTTCTTAGCTGAAAGAAAACCAAATTTGAATATGTATATGCATTAATTTATATGGCTGTATGGCTCTGAAGAAGGCTTAGAAAGCCGAAAAAGAAGAAAAAAGAGCCTTGGCTACGGTGAAGATCTCCAGGAGGGGTGACACGCTTTTGGTGTATAGAACAGGGCGGTGTTTCACGCTTCATGCGATCATCAAGCAACTTTTCAGAATCGAACTCTAGTTTGTAGAATCAAAAGCTACGATCATTCCACTGAGCCAAAAGGCCCAATAAAATGATCGGTAACTTTTGCCACACCCGGTTTGGGCTGATTTGTTGCAACCTGACACTTTTCGCAAGCATTCTTTGCCTTTGGTTTTTAACCCATGCTTGGCTACTTCCATTGGTGGCTATTACATTGGCTCAGTTTTGGTTTAATGTTTTCTCAATCTACTTAAAGTATTTATCAAAGTAGTTGTTAGTTGATACATACCTTCAAACGTGGACACAAACACTGTTCCATTTCTATCTTGGTTTGTTGATATGATCCTATAGAATTTCATCATCTTTGATGAGTTTGTAAATGCCTCGTGGTTGATACCCCGGGAATGCACATGAAACGCCATTGGTCGCCCCGCCAGTGTCTTCCATATTCCTTCTGCTGCATGCTTTAACAATCTGCTTTTCCTAGCATCTTTTGTGAGGTGCAAAGGAAGACTCAGATTCGTACTGTCTGTTGGAGCTGTGATATCTATACCCATGGTCAGTTTTGTTATTCTTTCCGCGCCTCTGTTTATTGCTGTCATTAAAAATTTCGTTTTCGTTATTATGGCTATTTATAAACAGTTACCTGCTTCAAACAACAAACATTGCAATTTTGTTGGAGAGACGAATGCGCGAGAACTTTAAGTGTGTGAGGCAACCCTCCGTCCTGGAGATAAGAAGCCTGCGTTATAATGCCTTCATTCCTTTTGCATGCTCTTTCATTCCAGGACTGAGTGTCGCTTCACTCATTCAAAATTTCCTCTTTTTCGTCTCCCTAACATAATCTTTGTCACTCAGATCTATATACGTAGGTTGAAATGCACTGGGTAACATAATATTTAGGACCCTTTAAATATGTAATGTCAAAATCAAATCTATTCCTTGTGAAGTTTTAAACTATTTGTTTAGGTTTTGTGATTTTTAGATTCTGAAGCATGAATACCAAACAATCAGAGGGAAGCCAGATCTCCCCCAAATAAAATTTCTCGTCTGGAAACAAACCTAAGTACTTCCTTTATAAAACTGAATTTGCCTGAAATGTATGCTAGCAGTTAGAATTAGTTCGTAATTTTTGAAGAGATACACCTGTGCAGAATTTTGTCGAAGAATTCAAAAGGGTCTACGTCATCGCTCACAAAGTTTTGCAATGATGAATATACGGCTACTTCTCATTCAAACTCTGGATAGACTGCCAAAATAACTGTAACATTTTCCTGCCTTTTTTATGTGAAAGGCACCACTTACCATAAACTGGCCAAATAATTCCTTTCTTCTTTTGCGCTATAGCAAAGTCGTATATCTTCTTCGATATTCGGTCGTATCCATCATCTAATAGCTCTATATCCCCACCAGGAATTATTGCTCCATTAACTCTTCTAAGGATTTCATCAACCTCGTCATCTTTAAAATTATCTTGCAGTGAGACTACGCGTCCGCCCGCCGTCTCAACGAAGCGAACAAAAGAGGCAGCAATGTAACTGCAGCCCTTGGCTTTTGGAACCTGTTCCTTTATTTGTTTTCCAGCAACGTAAAGAGACAAAACAGCAATGGTAGGCCGTTCAGTCTTGAGGTGCTTTTTTATGCTCTCGATGTTTGTTGGATAAGTCAAGAATGGATCTTTAAATCCAGCTGACATGTCGTGCAAAAGGCACAGCAATAAGGCGACGATACACTCTTTAAGCATTTCTGCAAATACTGGCACCAACTCTCTGTGTCAAGTCTGCAGCTGCAATTTCAGCAGCACGAATACGTTAGATTTGTTGATAAATCAGTGTTTTATTGAAATGCTAGTTAAAAATTTACGCATTATCCGGGCTCCACAGGCCGTCAGTTTGGGAAGAATCTGCATTTGGAAAAAGCTGTTAAGTTTGTGATTTGGTCACTGGCTTTGAATGCGCGTATGCAATGCTCTTTCACCTGTTATCACATCCTGTCAATGCAAAGCATGTAGAGGTTTAAGCTGTAGATAGCTCAATCGACTTTGTTTCTGTTCTTGTATATCCTTTTTGCAACTTTTGTTCCTCAATTTGCTGTTGCAGCTTTCCATGGGTAAAGCTTTTGATGTCTAGCCTTGCCTGTATGGTTTTGCTTTTTGCCTGACTTGAAAATTTTTCTCGCTCTGGTCTTAAATAATCAGAATTCCTCTTAGCATCTGAAGATGATACGCTAGTTTTCCTTTTGCTTTTTGCTGGCCTGTTACATGAAACCATTATGCCTCAAATTTACGAGAACAGACAATTTTTACACCTGTCTGTTCTTATATGTCGATGCGATGCAGAAAGAAACGCAGTTAAGTCATGCTTTGAAATTTCTTTTCTTTTTTATCGACTACAATCGTAGTTGAATTAACAGATTTTAAATGAATAGATGACTGCTGGAATATATACTTTGAAAAAGCCACTCGATAGCAAAATCCAAAAATTTTGGAATTACAAACTAGCATTTCACTAGAGTAAATAGTTGAAGTATTTGGTTCAAAATGTCTGATTGCAAACAATCTTTTGGTGGTACAAGACTGAACAATGACTTTGAAAAAACCAACATTTTGAGTCATACTGAAGATCGTAAACTCTACACTAGGAAATATATACCCAGTTATGGATCAAAATAGGCCAATCAGAAACGCGATCAAATGACTGTTGAGGTTGCCCAATCAACGTCGCTTGACTATTGAAAAAGTTACCCAATGGAGTTTTAGAGTAAAAGCGAACTCCTTCTGTTTACACAACAGCGGTTTTTCGTGCTTATGAAGATAGATTCCAAAACTGCTAGATGGAACGACGATCGGGCTTTGCCAATAATCCGAGCCATGTCGCCATTATAGTTTTTTGCACAATCTGGGTTCTCCAGTACTTTAAGGTCCTTAATAGAAGGGGGATCTTGATAATTGGGCGGGGGTCAGAAATTTTTCAGAAAATAAATAAGTGGGGGTGGGGGTCCTAGTAAGTAGGGGGGGGATCGGAAATGTGAAAAATCTGAAAAATCACGTGATGATTCTTTTTTGAGGTCAAATGAGATTTTCTTCTGAATACAATCGATAGCAAAATGACAATTATCACCATGTAATAATGCATTGTTGTATTACTAAAATGAGCAGGCTAATTATCATTGTGTACATCAGTCAGGCCTATGTAAATTTTTTCGGATGTTATACTACTTTTCTATGTTGAAACGTTTGTTCAATGCAACCTCTTCATTTAAGAGAAACTTTACAAAAATTTCACACCAGAAGAACAAAGGACAAATGAAATAAGGGATATGAATGACTGCATATAAAATTAATAAACGGGGAGGTCCAAATAAGCTCCGGTGGGGTCAGAAAAAAAATCAAAAAATTAATAAGTGTCCCCCCTTCTATTAAGGACCTTAGAGTAAATGCTGCCCGATAACGGAATTGCATGTTTTACTAGTTGTTTCATATCTGCAAGACAGAAGAGGCTGTTCTCTTTTGGGAAGATCTTTGTTTGTAATGCTGGAAGGGACATGCTGTTTTATTCTATCTCCTGATCTTTAGGTCGTTTGTTGTGTCCTACGTAGCCAGAAGCATACTGCCATGTAGACCCATGGATAACTGAACTCTTTTGGGTGGTAGGAACGCAGTCCTTCTGAATGGATGGAAAGGCCTTTTTGTACTGTAAACAGTACGCTGATTGACAGCAAAGACACATTTTGTAATGGCCTGTTTAATCTGACTTTAAAATCGCAAGGAACTGTTACCGATCCATTGTAGTTTTAGAAAAACTTGGCAATTTGCGGATCAAATTTTGCTTCAGCTGAAAATCTTGAAAATCTTTTCCTTAATATAAGTAAACATGACATCCTCTGGATAGCCGTTCTAGAGAATAATCTTTTTTAGTTATTCAAGATCCGAATCGAGCTTATACTTGGAACAAATCATCAGTCCCCTATGAGTTAACTTTTTGATGAGATTTATTTTCCTTTGTTTTGTTCAAAACGAACTCCGTCGTTTATGAGTGACCGGGGGACTTGTTTACCGGATGCGGATCGAGTTGACGTGAGAAGAAGAATAGCGCGTCTGATTAGTTCCTTGCTTTTGACCAATCGGCGGCCTGTAAGTTCTCACCAGTATGAAAAGCCAAAGAAGACTCATTCTGAAGAAACTCTTCCATTTTTTTTATGTAGACAGAAATCTTCAAATTTTGCTATCGAAGGCTTTATTTGCTAAAAGGATCATCATACGGAACTATCCCTTTTTTACACAACTGGTGTTATTTGAATCAGTGTGAAATTGTTTCCAAGGGTGGATACCCACCTCAAACTGTCTAGATCTGCACATGAGATTATAAGATATTCTTTTCTGCTCTTGGGCAAGCTTCACCAGTCTTTTTCATGATAGGTGCCGTGTTTAAAGTGTGTCTGGAAGTATTCTTCTTGTTGCCAGTTGCAGTACAGGACTTGAATTTCAATCTTTCCAAGCTTCGTCCTTTTTGCGTTTGTTTTTGTGTTGTGTTTGGGAAAAGGTTTTATGTTTCGTTAGTATTTATCGTTAAGGGAAAGGAAATATTTGAGATAAGTATAAAATTAATTTAAGATAACTTGTTTGTTTTTATTTTGTAATGAACAAGTTGTTACCAATAGTGAGAATAATGAAAACATTATTAGAAATTAAGGTAAATCTTCTGGTTAAGTTGTAATTGTCAGTTACAGGTCTCAGAATTGCAAAGATTTCTAAACACCTTCTTGCATCAGTTATGCAATTAAAGCTATCAAAATTCCGTAAAGGCAAAATGAATTGGTAGCGAAACGCTTTGCAGCACACATTTCATCCGTAAAGGACAAGACTCGAGAAAGAAAAATTCACCACAGAATGAAATCTTATTGATAAAGATTTTAGTACGCTACTATTTATTGTGAGAAAAGTATATTTGCTTTATAAATTATAACCAGTATTTGAAACCTCTTTGCAATATTTGCTATCAACTTTTTGTGAACAAAGTTTGATAATGGCTTTGAAAAATGCAAACATCTAAAGTTCTGCGTAACTGACGTAGTACATCGTCTCTCGTAAAAAAGCAATTAATCTTAAGCTAGTCCGAAAAAGTTCCTTTGCTATGTTTGTGAGCTAAATCCTTTCTGTTTCTTGTCTCTTTTCTCGCTTTTATCGGCACAGTTGCGGTGGGTCTTAGACAAAATACAGGGAAGAAGAAAAAAGAAGCCAGTTCTCGCCAGTGCTGTTGCTACGGTGGCCCAAAACTGTCACGGCTAAAAATTGCTCGCGGCTAAAAGAAATTGCTCACGATCAAAACAAAGCACTTATGGCTTTTAGCGTGACAGTTGTAGACCATCGTATGTTGCAGCCTGACGTGATGCGCAGTAGCAGTTGGTTTAGAAGAAAAGATAAGTATGAAAAATTTGCTTGAGACGACGAATACATGAATGCATCAATTTATAATCTCTATGACATCATGATAACTACTTAAAACGTATGTTTTTATTGGCTCTTGTTGTCACCGTGCACAGTGTAACAGAGGTAGAAAATCTTGTAATCGTCTCCAGCTTATTATTTAAAATTCACATTGTTCCTATCCACTTTGTCTACTATTTGAAATCAAAACACATATATTTGATCAAATGGCGTCTTGCTTTCTGTTATAAATCCGGTGAAAAGTGGTTGATGTTTTTCTATCACCCATTTGAGTTCCTCTTCATATGAACCAAAATTCTGACTGTTTTTTCTCGCCTCGTTAACGAAGAAATTCGCAAAGTATTGTCCCAGCCTCACTGCATCCCAACTATGTCTGGTATCTTTTTCAGGATGCCATTCAAATGCTGCCTTCTCAGGATGCCACTGAAGTCCATAGAAGGGAAATTTTCTACCTTTTGGTAAAAAAAATGACTCAATCAGCAAAGGTGGTGTGCTCCAGTAATCATTGTAGTTCATATACTTTATATCTTATTTTATTTCATTTTAATCTATTTTCTTTCATATTGTTGCATTCTGTTGCATATTATTGTATTGTCAGTCATTGTATTGCTTGTGATTGTATAATGTTCTTTTGCATTTTATTCTAATCTATCTTTTTCATGATGTTGATCAAGAAGTTGATATTCAGATTAAGCAAACGTCCATAATTGCAAAGGAATATTAATGCAGAATGAGAAGCACATAACAATGTCAAGAATTTATCATTTTTTGAGCTGTTTTATGTTTCGGTAGGGTTGAAATAACGTGGAGAGTAATTCCAAATTGTTTGTTCCATAAAAATTTTGATCCGAAAGATGGAAGTTCTGCCCACAGGACCCTTGAATGCTAGGAACCCTACAGAGCATCAAAACAAGGAATTAGCTTTTCAGATTTAGAAAGGCTTTGATGAGTGGCTTCTACTGTGGAATCAACACAGTAGCTCGTGATTCCTTAGAGGCTCACAGCAAACCATATAAGAAAACTGCGTGCTTTTTTATCATACAGTTCTTGTTGCAATTTGCTAAAATCATAGGGATGCAAGTTTGAGGTTTTGTGGTCAGACAATTTTGCATTCAGCATTTATCAACAATTGCTGGAGGAAATGTAGATTGAAAATGTTTACAAGGGCAGTTCACAGAGTAGAAAGCCTCTCCTTGCCACGCCTGTAAAAGGGTCAAAGAGAGATTGGTCGTCCAATCCTAGTACTCATTTTTCGCGTCAATGCCCAGAGATATAGTTAAAGTCCCCCCGTGGGGGTACTCCCATTATGGCCAACAGGGGGTTCAGTCAGGGTCAAAGAGGGCCAGTGCTAGAATTTTGAAAAATTACCCTCAAATGGTAGCATATTGACGGAAATTATGTCCTTGGTAGCATCCATTTCTTTGTGCGCGCGCGGTCCTTCTTGACAAATTTCTTTGTCATTGACTGTTGTTGATTCGGGAAAGATAAAACCTTGTTAATTGTTTAAAATAAATCACAAGCTAAAAGCGAGCTAAATGATAAAATTAGTGTTGTTATCGAAACTGGGTCATTTGGTAGCAACTTGGTAAGACCCTCAAATCGACTTGACCCCCCTGTCAGGCCTTAATGGGAGTGCCCCCCTGGGTACAGCGCTTACTTTTCATCGAAAGATAACAAACAAACACTGTCTCTATAAGAAATACTTTTTCACCTTCATATGCAGCAACAAATTTCTTCCCTTTTTGATCAATTGAAGTCCCCAATACTTTGTACCATTCTTTCAGGTCTTTATTTGTCCTCATTTCACTTGGGTAAATTCCATATTTATGATAATTAGCAGTTATATCTTTGGTTTCCATAACTTTTTTCAAATCATCAGGCAAATCTTTAAACATTTTGCTGCTTTTGTAACCGTCCTCAATGTGCATTGGCAAGCTAATGTTTTTAGACTCAAAAAGTTTCAAAATCTGTATGCTTTTTTCTGTAAGGACTGGCAGGGCCTGAAATCCTCGGCAAATCCCAAACACTGGAAAGTGTATGCCAGCCTCGTTTAGCTCGATTGCTTTCTTAAATATCCGTCTTGCGATCTGGTAATATTTTGAATCGATTAAGTTGATCTCTCCGCCAGGAAGCATAATTCCATTCACTTTCTTAAGCACGTTGTCCAAGGTTTTGATTTGCTTGGGGTCGTCGACAATAGGGACAACCCTTCCACCAGCAGACTGGATAAACTTCACATAAGATGCTCCAATATAAGATTTCCCCTCTAGCTCTGGTTTCTCTGCTAGAATGACCTTGTCTGTTATTTTCATTGCTAGCATGCCAATTATGGGCCTATCATTCAGCTCTTCACACTGCACTCGATTCACAAAATGCAGCAGCAAAAACAATAGCAGTAATGGTTTCCTAGCCGGTCCCAGGTATAACATAGATGCACTGAAAATAAAACATTCTCTTTTCAAAGTACCTGCCACAGTGGCCATATCTACTATGCACGTTATCTTTTGATATCGTTAAAGTCAAAACTGCAAATCTTCTCTTTCCAGCTCCCCTTTATTTGCATTATATGCTACAGTCTAGGCTTGTTAATTCCAGGGGGTACTGCTAATTCCAATAACACGTTCTATTCTACTTTACAATCTCGCCTCGTTACAATCTTACAGTCGGGTCCTCAATCGCCTAGATGATGTTCTTTCATCATTGTCAATATTGCATACTTAAACATATATCCTTATGTGATTCTATCAAGTCGTGTATCGCATTATAAAACGTTTGTAGAATCATAATTTGTAACCCCCCAGAAACGTTTCCTAGCATCGCTACTAGAAGCCGAATTCCATGTCTCTGGAACCGGCAAACATTCATGCTTGGTTACTCAAGCATGAAATTGTCGCAATCATTATCCAGACTTGCAAATTTTCAAAGAACCGTCACTGTGGCAAATCGATGAGCACGAAAGACCTATCTCTAACCTTCAAGCCTAATAACCGCAAACGCTCATTTTCGATAGTTTGCACCATGCAATAGCCTTCCTTGATTCTTACCTGTGTAGAGCACAATCACAGAATAGGAATTAGGTAGAAGGGGAACTCCTGCCTATCAGGTGAAGCCTGAAAAAACTAGCGCATGCGTTAACTTCTACGAGGCTTAGCATGTATCTGTCGGGGAAATTTTAAAAAAGAATGATAGTAGACAACTTTATTTGAGACGAAATGCTTCATGATAGTGAACAAATTCAATTATGTATCATAATTCGTTTATATCTGATTAATGAATGATGATTTGTCATAGCTAAGTTCTTCTAATGAAATCGAGGTTAAAGGGGAATTAAGGAATTCTATGGTTGTCTCGGGCTTCCAAAACAACAAAGGAACCGACGAGAGTTACCCTTCTGCCTATTTCCAATTCTGTGGCACACTCAATTTATAGAGCAAAATTCTTGTATTTAGCTTATTTGAGAATGCGATAAAAGCTGTAGAGCAGAAGAGGCCAAAGCGCCAGAAAAAAGGACAAAACAATGACAAAAAAAGAAAATTGCTGACTCTTGCTAAGGCCATTGAGACCACTTCAACAAACCCCCGTGTTCCGGCGTCCCTGAGCTTATTCTAAGACCCTTCTCATTCTACATTGTTGTTGCTTCTACGTGGCTTCAAGAAAGAAAGAAAATTCAAAATATCATTGTAATTATTCTTAAATGGAGGTAAAATGAGTTTAGAATTTGAGGAAAAACCCTCAAAAGTTTATTAATAAATTTCATTTAGACTGCAAGAAAATAGAGAAAGGTTGCTTAACACACGATGTATGGAGGGTATGCTTAATTATAAGCAATTAAATTCTGGATAATTGTTTCATTGAAAGTAGAAATGCAAGACTGATCCATTACCCTTTCACGAGCTGGCTAGTCTTGAACTTCTACCTTTTTACTGTGTCTAATATGATTAACATAACTATGTCAACTTTTAGCATAATTTTGTCCATGAACCAGGCACTTTGTTGGTGTAAAGAATTTCAATCCTTGAAATGTCGCGCTGTTCTTCTGCTAAAAAGGACTTGAAATTAGGCCTGTTATTCAAACCAGGCACAAGCAGCACTTTAGTTTGGCAGGCAGTGATTTGCTTTGTCATTTTATAAGATATATATACCGTCAAATGGCATCGAACTATTAACATTAAATGCTGTATATGTTGGAGGGTAACGATCAATGATCATCTGGATCTCCTCTTCGTAAGATGAAAACGAGTTCTTGTTTTTTCTTGCTTCGTTCACGAAAAAATCTGCAAAGTATTGTCCAACTCTTACAGCCTCGGATGTGTGAGGAATATCCAGCGTTGGATGCCATTCGTATGCTGGCTTCTCTGGGTGGAATTGCAGGCCGTAGAACGGATAACGCTTGCCTGTAAATAAATTTGGTTCAGATAACAATCAAATAGAACAAAAATGTTTACAAGCTGAAATATTTCACTCATTGCTGCAAATTTTGTCTGAATGTGACAGCAACTAAAGTTTGTTCCATTCTTCCGTATGTTTCCGTTCCCAAGGTTTAAATGCTTTGCTTACCCTTTCTAAGCAAGTTCATCGTATATCTGTGCATTTCTGGATCTAACTAATGGTATAAGCTTTGCTAGCTCCTATTCCTGGTTTTAACACTTAAAACAACAATATTTTCTGAGAAAAAATATCTTAGAAGAGAGGAAGGATCATATCGCTGTTTTTTTAAGTTCTAAATAATAAAAAATAAAAATGCTTATTATTCCGAAAAATTTAGAGAGTTCCAATATCGAATAAGTATTTTATCACTAAGGTTCTTGTGAGAAAAATGATCGTTTTATTAAATGCTCTGGCAAATTATCAATGGATCTTGTCATTCAATTTTGTCTCTCAGTTTTTTAATAGAAATGTTGTACAATGCTGTGATAATTCGTGTACATTAAAACTATAACAAAACTTTAATAACTACTTGTATCCTAAGTTAAGTTAATAAATCCCTCTTTTTTAATTGCAGTTCTTTTAGATTCGAATGCTTGTTCTTGTTTCGGATTTATACGCCTTGACAAATACCTTCTATTGCTAAGCCTATTTGAAAGCAACAGACGAATAAGCTAAGGATTGGATGTTTAGACATCCTTGCTGTAACAAGCGTCAAAAAGCGCTAAATGAGGCTGTAGAAGCAATAAGCATGGACTTTCTACGCAATGAAATTGCAGTGTTGCAGAAATCACAATCAACTTGGTGAATACCTATTCTCTTTTAGGGGACAAAATTTGACAGAAATCCACATCAGACAGCAGCTCTTCAACTTAGACAGCAGCTCACACAAAGTTCAACTAATACTAATTTGCTTCTAGGGTTTTTAAGATAAAGAAAAGAAGGGTAAAGAAAAACATGTGCATGGACAATACTTTGTCTAGCTGGAAAAATTCATAGTCAATTAATCGGGGCGTGTTGTACGTCAAATGAGTAGTAAATACAAATTGATATAATTATAATACGACTTTATACATGGATGCTGCAGAGTCAGGAAAATATTACGGTCGCACGGCCACGGACCGGAGGAAGATCTATGAAAAACAATATAAGCTCATATGACACACCCAAGCCACGCCCACTTCCTATTCCTTTGTGAAAAAGGTTTGCCTTCTGGGATGTTTTTGTCTGGAGGGAGGTTAACAGCTTCTCTGGACTCTGGGATGTTGAATGTTGTCGCAAACAATACAATAGAATCCTTTGCAACAATATTCTACTTCCATGTACAAAGTCGTATTATAACTATATCAATTGGAAATATTCATGCTCAACTTATAGAGCTAGTAGAGTACAAGAAAGATATTCACACATTTTCTAATATGCTGTTAACACAATGAAATATCAAAATCGACCGCACTTTAGCACTGCTTATACCCTTCTGACTACCAGATAACCTTTTTCTAATTCGTAGTTTTATTCATTCTCACCTTCCATAGCAGCTACGAATGGTCTACCCTTCCTGTCAAGTGAAGTGGCCAGAAGACGATACTGTTTGGCAAGAACGCTACTTCTTTTATACCAGCTTGGATGGATTCCTTCGTGGTGAAAATTTGGTGTTATGGGTTTACTCTGCAAAGCACTTCTCAGTTCTTTAGACATGTTAAAGAAAAGGCGGCTTGTTCTATACGTTTTGTCGAACTTGATTGGCAAGCTTTTATTTTCAACATCGAGATCTGATAAGAAGTTTCTTTTCTTTTCAAAAAACACATGCATAGCTTCAAAACCTAGACATATACCAAACACAGGAAAGTATCCTCCATCTTCATTTTGTTTTATTGCTAATTTTAGCAATTTTCGTATGGCTTTTATGTACTTCGAATTCTTTAGATTTGATCCACCACCTGGCAAAAGCAAGCCATTTAATGAACTGAAAATTCTAGTGAGATTTTTGCTGTCGTAAGTGTCCAGAATTGGAACCACTCTTGCACCGCCGGCTTGTACAAACTTAACATATGACGTCGCTATGTACGATTTCTTCTTTGAGTATGGAAAATATTTATGTATTAGTTTGTCTGTGATAGTCTGCGACAGAATTCCAATTAATGGTCGTTCCGGTCCTACTGGTGTCAAAGCATGCCCTGGAAGCATAAAATTGAAGTTAATGATACCAATAGCACATACAAGTATAGCGCTAAGCTTTGTCAAAATCCATTGATGCTGATGTTGCTTAAACATAGCTGTTTTCACTAATATTCTCTGTCAATAACAAATCACAGATTTGCTCACACTGGAAACTTGAAATGAGTCTTTGACGATCATCAACTTTAGCTGGTTGTCAGATTGTTTAAAATTTATCCGCTGTGATCCTCTACCAAACGTTTGCAAGCAGCTACGTGTACCAGTAGGTATAGCTTACACAATCCAGAACAACTCCATTTGTTTATACTTTCACTGCGATTGTTTAGGAACTTTCTTGTCTGATTGTTTTGGTACACATGACTCGGCCGATTGTCGAAACCAGTCAGAATGCTTGCACAAATCTATAGCCTTTACTTTTTGTGATTGTTTGCATTTCCTACCTTTACAAATGGTCGGTGACAAGTTTAGATGCTTTTCTTAACGCAACGAGAAAACAGTTCTAGATGTTTTACCTAGTCCATGTCACTTGCTGAAACACAGCAAGGTTTACTGTGCAATTGACCTTTTAAGATGAAAATTTGAGTGTCCTCGACTGGAGCAGAAATTGTTTCCCTTAATTTTCCCATGCCTTTGTTTTGCTTTTACTTTGATATGCTCAAAATAAATGTGCATTCGTCTTTAAATTTCTTATATAAATGAAAATATAATTGGTGTCTGAATTCACGAAGTTAGGGTTGGGGCGGGTGGCCTTTTGACTTTCCCGCACTTGTTACAAGCATTGTAACTGCGAATTGCAAATCGCTGATTCTGTGAAGGAATTAACCTCTTATTGGTTATAACCAAGTTGGAATCAAAATGGCTGAAGAGGAGAGTGAAGAAGTTCATGAAGATATCTTCAATTTAGTATGCATACTTTTGCTTTATTTTGTTTACTATTCGACTTATGTTAAAAAACAACAATTTTATTTTCTCTTAATTGTTGAAAGAATAAGAGAATTTTCTTAAGATGTTTGGCGGCAGCCTGCCATTTTAATTCACAGCTGCCGTGTGGAAAGAACTACAAATTGTCAATATAGCCCCCCCTCGAATAAGCCCCCGCTGCTACTGTACATTCTCGAACTGGACCCCTCCATTTGATGATTTTTGCCATCTGAGGTTGCCTATGGCTTTTTATTGAATTACCACAACAAATTCATACTTCTGGTAGTAATTAATTAAATGCTCATAAAGAAATTCCCACTAGAAAACAAGGTCTTTTAATAATGTCTTCTTAATGTCTACAATAATTTTATAAGCCCCCTCTCGTATAAGCCCCTCCCCCTCGAATAAGCCCCCATCCAAAAATATCAAAAATAAATAGGCCCCCAGGGGGCATCGCCCTGATTGAGTATGTTCCTGGTAACGTGACATTTACATTGCTTCAATTATTGCGGAAAAATTGGGAGATTGGGGCTGAGCTGCGACCAAAAAAAGGGCAAAATCATGTGTATACGCCATTTATCAAAGTTAAGAAAACATTTTGCATTCTCAATCAATGAGCGAATAATTGGAAACGAAAATGACTCACCTGAAACAAAGAAGTGTGTGTCTGCCATTTTGCATAGGATATTTTCGGTACTCATTTTTTCATAATTATTTTTAAAGGGATGAGCATTTTTTAGCTGCTAACCTAGCAATTTTAAGCACATATCATGCATGAGGAATAAAGATCTTTGCATAAATCACTCAGTTTTCAATTTGTTTTGCCACATAGAGGAGTGAAATAAAGCTTACACAGTTCGGTAGTTTTTTACATAAAACTTACCACTGACAAAATCTTTCAGGTTCTTCAGATGTTTATTTCAAAAGATCAGGTAATTGGTTTTACAAAGTTTTTTGAAAAAGCTGCGATACTACTTAGTTGTCTTGATGGCCTAAATTTCTGGCATTGCCCTGATTGGGTATGTTTTCTGTATGTAAATATTAGCATGTACAGAAAAAAAATCGAAAAGAAAATAAGTGGTTAATCACTTGCAAACACCTTTAAAACATCCTTGCATGCCAATGTTTCATTGAACTTTTCTTATCCACTGATCTGATGCATGCATGCAAGAGTCAAAACAAGGGGGAAATTTACGGCTTTGACAAAGTGCAATATTTTAGCCTAAAATTGTATTCAAAATGTATCAAATTTGCTTTAGAGTATTTTTGTTTAAAGATATTTGAAAATTTGAAAATTACAGGTTTCCTGTTGAGAATTAATGCAAAAAAGCTACCAAACTAAAACAGCCGTTTTGATGTACCCAATCAGGGCGAACTTAGGCCAAGTCAGTCAGCTTTATTTCACTCCGTTCTGTGGCAAAACAAATTGAAAATTGAGCGATTTATGCAAAGATCCTTGTTCTTCATGCATGAAATGTGCCTAAAATTGCTAGGTTAGCAGCTAAAATATGTGCGTCCCTTTCGCTAAAAATTTAATTGCGTCGATAATCCATTTTTACTAAGAAAAATAAAATCTAAACATAATTATAATTTCTATGAAAATCAGCACACTCTGAAAGTTTTTCAAATCCAGCTCCTTTGTTAAAGCACTTTATTCCAAAAAAATTTAAGATCAGATTTTTTCAAAATAATGCCCAAACTGTACAAAATTGCTTAATCTTTTATTTTTAGCTGATTGTTCTTCAGTTGATATTTCAATGTAAATGTTTTTTTATTTAATCATGTTTCACATTAGAATTTCAGAAATATCATGAGATATTCACTCCTCTCATAGCTTATGTTTATCATATCGAACAGAACTCAAACTAATAACAATAGGGCTGAATACAAAATGTTAGAATTAATGGAGCATGCTAATCACATATTGTTCATCTCTGTGTGCAAAACTCAAAACTCAACTCGTAAACAAGATAATGATGCCCGTTGTAATAATCATAATACTAATAATTCTTAACACATCTTCCACTCCACCTTTTTTGGTTCCTTATTTCATATAATAGAATGACTATGAGCTACCTTAAAAGGTTCTTAAACATTGCAAGACCTTTCCTATTTCATGTCAACTTTACAATTGACGAAGCTCTGGGACATATTGATAAAGATTTCCTCGGATTTTCCTTAAAGTCCAATTTAGATTCTGGCCATCTCGAGGTAAATCATATTTCTAAAAATTTTCTTGCCACCAACCATGTTGGCGACCCTTTCCTTGACCCTTTCAGGTCTTTGATATTTTGGCTCTTTTAACTCGTAACTCTTAAACATTGAACTCTTAAAATAACTATGAAATAAATGAAATTCAAATGAAAAAAAAATGAAAAATAACTATGAAATTCAGACACAAAGTCTCAGATTTTTAAAGTAAACTTGTCCATGCAAAAAGCAAAGTTTCCAGTCTTGCTTATACCTGAATCAGCTGTTGATATGATTTTTTAACAGAAGTTGTGTATTGGCAATATTTCCTCTCATGTTAAACATTCTAAAGAGCTAGGACAGGAACTTTGGGTTGTTTTCTTTCTTTATTGTACCTTAAAGTTGATGCTTTCGCTGCTCCTGATCGAGAAATGAAAGAAAACACTGTAGTTATTCTTCTAGCCCTTGATGCCACAGATCTGTGATGGACAGGACCTAGATGATTTTAATGTGGGTGTATTTTTTCTGTTTGGAAAGGTTTGGGGCAGGGGTAGAAATGGTGCAGATTTGAAAGGATGAGAGCCCCCAGCTTTTGCTTAAATTATCAGCTCAAACACAGTTTTTCGAGCTTTTGTCAATAATATTATCATCCATTTTATCATGTCTTGTTTAACAAAACCTGTTTTTAAAGTTTTGCTTAAATTTTAGAAGTCTTATAAAGGCTCAAATCTTTATTTAAAATTGTTGCCAGTGGTTTTGGGTTTTTATTTGAATGTGTCAGTCAAGTTAAATTAAATCACAGAAAGATACTTGCTAATATACATACATGAAATGATTATTTGGGTTATTTTAAATATGTTCTTTTGAATTCACTTTCCTTTTTCAAGCTAAAAACTCTATGAGATTTTCTTCAAATCTGCTGAAACTGCATACTTGGATGATGTGTGTAAACCAATGTAGAAATGTGAACATTGTCATGTTTTCGTGAGTTGTAATTCTTGCTATAAGTACAGACTCCTAAGTTTTTAACTGTAAAATAAAGGTCATCTTTATTTGATAATCATGATTACTCTTCAAAATTCTTACAATGTTCAACCACACAGATTAGTCATATTAAACATTATAAATAGCATTATACTTTATCTTTTGCTCTTTATATACTTTTTTAGGATGAAGCTGAGCATGAAGTAGCAGGATCATCTTCAGAGTCAAGTGTAAAATCTAAACGGCTTTTTCGAAAAGAATGTAAGTCTTGTGCCCTTTTAGTGTATTTTGATATAGCAACTTTAGTTCTGAATGTGCCAATGAACTCTAGATTTCTAAAATAATGATTGCTGTTAGAAAGTTAAGATTCTTTTATCGGTAGATATTTAAGTAAAATGGCAGTCAAATGGAGAAGACTCACATTTTAGACTGACAGTTGTTCAAAAGTTTAAATGAAAAAGAGTTACTTGATGAATGACACACAATGACTATCAAAAGTCTTGGTACACTAACGTCATTTTTCAAGGGCAATTTTAGCTATTCCCCTTCCTTCCTTTGGTTTATTACAAAACAACATAGTTGATTCTGGAGTAGATTTCTTCCTGTGATGTCTTTGCCTGTGATGTCTTCAGGGGGGGGGGGGGGGGGGGATGTGGAAGTAGGAGTACTCAAGAAGAGAATTGAAAAATATAAGAACACAATGCATACAGCTAGGTGTTCCAAGTATGTTTGGCAATGATTGCATGTAAAAGGTGTGGTGGAAATTAAATAAAAAAATTCTGACTTTTAAAAAAATACGCTGAGAAATAATTCCAATGCTCATTGATTAATCATAAATCTAAAACAACATTTTCAAAAACATTTTACTTGATAAGATTTGGTAGTCAAATCTTTTCCCCCTTTTCATTGTCCAAGGAAAGCTATCAATGCTGTCACTTACATATTATTTTACTAGACTCATCTGTACCGAAACTTCCAATTCAAATTTTCTCCATAGTCTGGCCTTGCAAAGTAACTTGATTTCTTTTTTAAAAATTCAATTAGCTATCATAATTAGAATTCTTCCTAGCCCTTCTACTGGAATGCAAAGGTGTTGGCACATTCTTTTCTGCCACTGTCCCATGTACTTTCCTCAGTCTGTGCCTTTTCCCCAAGACCTTTCTAGCCATTTATTCTTCTGTAAATATCACCCCTTCACGTACCCATGTAATCTTTTGAATGCTTTTTGCAATTTATTTTTTGTCTATTTCTTCTTTTAGTACGGTGCATGATGTATGGCTTCGGTGATGACGAAGTTCCTTACACTGAATCTGTGGACTTGCTAGAAGACATGTTGATCGCATTTATCAATGAAATGGTTCGTATTTTTCGAAATTAGACAATTAAAATGTTTACATAACAGGCTTATTCCAAAATGACTTAAAACAGCTATTAACTCACTTGAGTATCATTGTCATGTTTTTTATTTCCTATCCGGAATACTCCTACTTCCGCCGCCTTTCCCACCCCCAAGAACAATATCGGCAGATACGGCTAATTTCGTACAGTTCAAATAGAAATACTGGGGAAGCCAGTTACTACGGACACAGCTCACAACGAGCTTCCCGCTATTACGTGCTTAAAGTCAGTTCCTATAATCACTAACATTTAAATTCATTTGTAAATTTTCCCTTTATAACCAACTCAAATTTTAGCCCCCCTTGCTTCAACCATGGACGATATACGAATTTTTTTAAAACAGTGGTAATGATGGTACTTTTCAAGCATATGCCAGTGACACTGGGAATCTAAGGGTACGAAATGAGGATTTTATACAACCAGGGCTTACAACAGACGGCTACATGGACATGACTAATGATGGTACATTGTACACTTAGTAAAATTACCTATTGTAATCGAAGAGTGACGAAAATAATAAAAAGATAAATGAAGAAGATGTGGAAGCTCTTCATTGTCTTGAAATATATAGTCGTAATGTTAACGAGGAGGAAGAGGAAAGGTAGGGGTGAAATGCGATAAAAGATAAATTCCTCTCGATTTTGTCTTAAGACATTTCTATTGGCAAGATGCAACAAGCACATTATTGATTATTCAAGAAACACTTTGCTAACGACCGATCATTTATCACAAGAATAGTATAGCAAATTTTATAGCAACAAAGATTGTCATTCTATTAACAGTTTTGTGAAATAAGCAAAGCGCTAATAAGATCTAATTGAAATATTGACTTAAATGACCTATTTTGGTAAGGATCCTTCAAAAAAGTTTCAAAATTCTGTGTTAGAACTTTTTTCTTGGTCCTACAGAGTTTGGAATAGTGAAATTCTACTGTAAGACTTTTTTATTTTCTATGGCGTTTTTTGGTAAACCAAAATCGATGTAAGCAGGATTAGGGTATGGTGGATTTCGACCTTACGCTGATATTAGTGTGCCAAGATTTGATCGCAGTAATTGTACGCTTGGTTGGCTATTTTCAGAATCAAAAAATTTAATATCGGTGTTTACTTCTCAGTAGGTTGCCAACCATACTTTTCCGTTTTTTCTTTAAATGGCTTAAACATTTGTTGATTTTACATCTACACAAGCGAGGTTTCAAAGCAAGCAGTTTAATAGCGCTAAGGATAGCCACGATGAATTTGACCGGGTTCTATAGAAAACGAGCCTTCGAAATTAATCAGGTATTTTGGAAATCCAAAATCGAGATATTGAAAACCGCTAACAGCATCAGCGTTTAAAAGGTTAGTTTTATACCGCCTTTTCACAGTTTGTATTCCAATTTCGTTCAATCTGTTGATTGTGAAGACAGCACGTCTCCTCGGCAAAATAATACTTGAAAAGAATTAATTGACAAAGTCATCTTCGTAACATGTTGTTAAAAGAATACATCGATCGCTCTTTCTTAAGGCGGGATGATCTTCATGGTGACCTAGAAAGCTCAGCTTACGTGGTAGCAGCAAACAAAAATTCCAGTCACATACATGCTGCCCAAAGTGTTCTGCCAGCAAATTTATTTTTTGCCACAGTTGCTTTGAGTATATCATAGTCTAGATGTTTTAAATTGTTTCGCAGCCAAACTAAAAAAGTCTTTTATGCTTTATATTTTGCAAAAATCAAGTAAAAGATTCGATTTGTAAGCCTTATCAAACACCCTTATGTTCTTTTTTGTAATTACATTTAGCTAAATTGTTTTGTTTATAGACACTTAAAATTTTGAAGCAAAACACGGAAACAACTCGATTAAGCTTCAGCTATAGTCAAAGCAGCATTTGGTGTAGCTTGTCCATATTCTTTACTGAAGCCAGTCTTTTCTAATGGAGCTATTATGGTTGCAGCTTGCATTTTGCATGCCTTTCTTGTTTTCTCTACCATTTCTCCAAAACATGTGATAATATATATATATAGTTCTTAAGTATCCATTAAGAATCTCCATGCTTCTTGTTTCTTCCTGTTTACAACACAATGAAAACATCTGCCCTTCTGTCTCCATTAAATCCATTTTACGGTTTTTCTGGCTGTAGCCATCCCAGTGATCAGCCGATAAGGACACATTTTATGGTTTACGATTGGTGATTTATTTCGTGATAAATTCAGAAACTATTTGAGATGTGAATGTTGAAATATGAAAATCTCATAGAAACTCGACAAGCATAGACTCTAGAGCATGGTTTTATGTAAAATTTGTATTCTGCGCATTTAATTACTGTTTCGATTATCACATTGCTTAGGCAACTTGCAGTATAGTTCACCAAAAGCATTGCACTTATTGGCACGAGGCAGTTAAAATTTTAACATATTAAAAGTGAATGATAACTTTTGTGTAAGGTTGAGAAATTAATCCGTTGACAAAAACCATCTTCCACTTGAGCATAGCCTTCTATGTCTAGCTTTTTGAAAACGCCGTTTACAGATGATTCCTAGACATACTGGCTTAAAGTATCAATTTTTCTAAGAAAGAATTGCACAATATCATTTAAAAAAACTTACAAAATACCGGCAACTTTTGAATAATGCACCAAACTCGCTTGCTCTGTTTATTTCTGCTTTTGATACTAATCGCTAACAAAACGTAAAATGTTCAGCCTCTTAAATTGATATTGTATTTTAAGCAGTGCCTTGACAAGGCATCAAGTTTATTGATAAAGAAACTGTTATTTAAACGCCTGTTCCCTAATTAGTAAATTGTATCGTAGACACAGAAAGCCATGCAGATTGGCAAAAAAGGTCGTGTTCATGTAGAAGATATCGTATTTTTGATTCGCAGAGACCCAAAGAAATATGCTAGAGTCAAGGTTTGTATGTTATCTATCTCGCTTCTGTTCTTGAGAAATTTAATTTGAGCACGGTTTGAAAGAGAAAATGGATTTGTAGATGTAATAAAATGTATAATTCCATCAATGGCGAGACATTTCAAGCCAGAAATTCAATCTCTTCAACCCAAGTCGCCCACCAAATCATATTTCATTTGTGGTGCCGTTCAGTTTTTGTAACCGATAACTTTGAAGTAGTTATTTGGGAGATCGTTCGATTTTTGCTACATTTAGCCTTTGTAGAATAGTTAATAAGAAGAGGCTTGCTGGTTTGAGCTCATCCAATGTATAATTCATTTCCTGGTTACCCAGGTTTGCCGGGAACTTATTTTTCTTCGTATTTCAGCTTGCTGATGGTTTAGGGACTTGATTTTATAACTTGGTTTATTAACTTCCAAATTTTTCAAAACTTCTTATTTTGGTGTTGGAATTTTGAAGAAAACGTTCTAAGAGCTAGCAATTAACTCGGTCTGTCCAAAAGTGCAGTACATGCTTTTTATGTATAGGGCATGACGGATCTAAGTTGTATCCCCGAGATTCACGCTAAGTGCGATCATCTGACAACAGTTCAGTTTAAGGTGTTAATGAGCAGTTCGAAGATTTTTTCTTACAAAGTCCTTTCTATCTTTCCCTCATGACTGCTTTCATTGCTCTTGTCCTATTCATGTAATTTTTAGAATTAGAGATCCATTAACATTTGACCCTCTAGTTGAGAATATGGAGAAGTCTCAGTGTTGAATTTTTAGTATGCAGAGTGTAACGAGTATCTCTTTCTTAGGGAGGGTGCTTTGTAAGCGGGGATCTCTTTGTGATGGGAAGGGTGTTGTCTTCAATTGACACACAAATCAGTTGTACCAATTTTTCACTTCCCATTTGATAATTGATAAGAAACTCGTTGTTAGTTTTCTAAATTCTTGTAGGAGCTACTAACCATGAACGAGGAACTCAAAAAAGCAAGAAAGGCATTTGATGCTGAAAGCTATGGTGAATGACCGACCAACTTGCAAGATGTAAACATACAAGGTATTGAATTGTTTGATTTGTATAGCTTGGTTCAATGCCATAGAAGTTGACGAATTGCTTTGAGGCATATGCAACGCGCTGACGGACCTATACAAAGAGATTTAACTCTGAAAGCAATATGTAAAAATTAGGACTTTGAAGATGATTTTCAACAATCTGTATAATTGGTGAAAAACAGCTCGGAATTTCATCGTTGCGGTTTTCATTATTGGGTTTTGTTAATTTTTCTATTTGCATAAGGATTTTGACAAGTTGTATGTGCCTTATGGAAGAATCTGGATTTTTCATGAGTAACAGGACGTTTTCAAGTGAAACAATCATTGCCGTGCAGTTTGTTGGAAAACATTGCCAATCGGTCAAAGAGAAAGAGATGTTTTCGGAGTTTCGCATTTCAGAGTGGTGTTGCGACAATTCAATTTACTGTATTAGATTAAGTGTATACTGTATTAAGGGTTAAAGACTTTCCACTTCCATAATCATGTAGTATCTCAAGATTCACACCATGGAGCCCAATTTTGAGTCATTCAAATCTGATCCAGATGCCCATTAATCCTATTTGGATTATCTTAAGAACTTTTGAAGGACAAACGTCAGTTGTTTTGTTGATAATTGTTACCAAGAGTTTTGATTGACAAAAGGACAAAAAAGGTGTCTCTGAATGTAATTTACCATGTTGTTTCATCTCTAGATAATTTTTCATGGATTTTTAGTCTTATCTTCCTGTTTAGTGACACGTTGGATGTGAACGTGAATACCCATCTGATCTGATCCTCTTCGAGTCTCATAAGGTTTTCTTGAATGCATCATTAGCACTGATGCCATATCAACTGTTGTAACATATTTTGAAACTACGATATCCTTCAGTCCACTAGCCACAGTTCATTTTATCTTCACTTTCCTCGAGTTTGAGTCGAATTTCCTAAGAGTGACCTCTCACATTATGTGAATCACATATTAGAAAAGAGCAACGTTCAACAAGCAAATGATTTAATGTGGTTTAATGTGAGAACCACTCCATTCGTTATCATATCAATCCATATCAAATTCCCTAGCACGTTTTATGGTTAGCATTTGTTGGATTTGTAAGTTCTGATGACCTGTTTGGACGTATGACAGGAAAAACTGTTTAACTTCTTACTTAATTCTCTTTGAAGCTACTTCACTCAAGTTGATATTTGCCTTGTAAAGTTAAGCAGAGATTTTTAATGCACGTATGTGACACGGCGAATTAACATGTTATTCAGTGTGCTATTTCTTTTACCTTGAAAAAAGCAGAGAAGCTATTAACGCGGTTTCTCGATTCCGGACGGGTTGCAAACATAAGCACAAAGTGAGGGGATACTGGAGTTCCAAAAATTGTGTATCATTAGCCGACAAGTAACGGAATTTGATTAAGCAAAGGTTAAAAGAATCACGTTTCCAGCATACACTGTGCGTTTTCCTTCTTTCTTTTCTAACCCTTATCCTATCCCTAACCTTTCTTAAAGTGCCCTTGATATTTTTTAAATCATCCACTGAATTTGATATCTGGTCTACTTGACTTTTGAAGCAATGGCGAACACTTGTGTCCTTGGTATGATGCACGTTCTTTAATCCTCCTGTCCAGTTTCATGACTCTGGCATTCGACAACGCATTCATCTAGATCCCTTCGATCACTTGCTGGTGCTTGCATATTTATCTTATGTGAAATATTCTTTGCCCTTGTAAGTTTCATGTAATACATACATTTACCAATGTCTTAATCTGCAATCCAGGGCAAAAATAGTTGACACTTTTCAAAGAAAAGTTGATATTTTCTCTTTCCTTTGAAAAAAAATTTCCCCCCACCCCCAATTCAATATTAAATGCATGATTTTGAAAGAGAAATTATTGAACTGCAAATTACAGAGGCAACATAAAGTGAAAGATTGCAAAAAATTCATTTTGTCTCCACAATTTTGTCCGGGATTGTAACATTGTAATGTCACATCTCGCTCATCTGATTTCTAGACGATATAATTCTGATTAATCCTACATACCCGCACTTGAAAATGCAGGCACTGCAAATAGTCTCTGAACACTAACGTCTACTTACATGGCCGTATTAAACCACTCCCTCCCATCCTCCCTTTACTTAAGATGATTTATCACAGAATAGAAATTAGTGTCATTTCTTTTCTGTGATTTTTTACAGGGTGACGTACATAGTTTTCAGGTGAATTGTCTGTGAACTTTTTTAAGGAAAAGGGTTTGGAAGTATGTGTTAGTCGTAGCATTTGAAAAGGAAAGAAAAATATACAAAATTCTTTCTATGGCAATTTTAACAATAAATTTCTTGGGACATTCTCTGAATACTATATTTTGGTCATTTAATAAATATTCTGCAAAGATTTCTCAGTTGTTTATTTCGAGAGTCATGATATCCGTATTAAAAAAACTAAAATCCTCTAGCATTCTTTTAGCAAGGACCGGTGCTGATGTTGAATGTGAAACGTGGATCCTAGTTAAAAGAAAAGATGCGTAAAATCTTTGTTTAACGTGTTGAAGATAGATAATAAAAGTAACATCAATATATGTGTTTGAGTTTTGGGCCTAAAGGTCTACTTTTTAAAAACTATACAAGTAGTTGAGAAGTGTCAAGGATTTTCGATCCCAATGATTCGGAAGTTCTTGATAACATCTTTAAAGTATGGTTTAGGAAAGAAGATTAAATGCTTCAGTGATGGCCTAGCACAAGTGAGCAAAAACTTCTAAAAGGTCTGCAAATTTCAGAACAGCAAAATCTTTGTACGAAGTGTGTTGTTTGTTGCCAAGAAGGTTTTTAGCGAGGGGCAAATCACTGCTTAAAATCACGTACGCTCTCAAGAATAATGAGTTACATTAATAAAAAAAAATCATTGTTCAGAAAAGATAGCTTTTTTGATGCATATTTAAATTCTTACGAAAAAAGTTGACGGCCCACGGAAAAGAGCACATTCATTTGTCTTAATGTCTCATTCAAAGTGATCAACAACTTTTCGCTGTTTTTCATTCCAGGCAATTTGCATCCGTGTTACTAATGCTTCTGTTCAGAAAAGATAGCTTTTTTGATGCATATTTAAATTCTTACGAAAAAAGTTGACGGCCCACGGAAAAGAGCACATTCATTTGTCTTAATGTCTCATTCAAAGTGATCAATAACTTTTCGCTGTTTTTCATTCCAGGCAATTTGCATCCGTGTTACTAATGCTTCTGTTCAGAAAAGATAGCTTTTTTGATGCATATTTAAATTCTTATGAAGAAAGTTGACGGCCCACGGAAAAGAGCACATTCATTTGTCTTAATGTCTCATTCAAAGTGATCAACAACTTTTCGCTGTTTTTCATTCCAGGCAATTTGCATCCGTGTTACTAATGCTTCTGTTCAGAAAAGATAGCTTTTTTGATGCATATTTAAATTCATATGACAAAAAAAGCAGCCCACAGAACAGAAAAAATGCATTTGTCTTAATGTCTTTCACGAGGTGATCAACAACTGCATCCATTTTGCTAATGCATCTATGTCCAGGAAAGATAGCTTTTTTGATGCATATTTAAATTCTTAAGAAGAAAGTTGACGGCCCACAGAAAAGAGCACATGCATTTGTCTTAATGTCTCATTCAAAGTGATCAACAACTTTTCACTGTTTTTCACTGATCAACAACTACTGTCACCAACCTATAATACTGATTTAAAATTTTGCTAATGCTGCTGTTCAGAAAATATATCTATGTTTTTAGTTGTTAATGTTATTAAACTTTTGCACCGTTTTCGTATGCAAATCTGCAACGGTCAATTTTTTTCTGGATCCACCCCTGTGCTAAACTGCTAATTTTTCTTTTTCAATTTCACATGGTATGTTGCAAAATCGTTGACGATGTTTATTGAACATGAAACTATTTGAGAGCACTTTTGAATCTATGATTCAGTTTCCAAAAAATCAAAATTTAATAAAAAAATTGATCACTTTTATCATTAGAAATCAAATTAATCACACACAAGATTGATTCAATCACAAATTAATCACTAGTGATTATCAATCTCGTACATCATTTTCAGAGTGATTTGCCCCTCGGTTTTTAGATTCTTTACTGGGTTATCACGGCTGTTTGTTTCTCATAGACTTCCGTTTGTGGAAAATTAGTGGTCAATAAACTCTAGCGCCTTGTTGTTGTATGTAAAAGACTGTTGTCGCCTATATGGACGGGAATGTTCAAATTCTTTAGCAACAATAACTGAAATTTGCATGTTGCCTCCAATCAAAATTTACACAGTCAAACAAATTGTCCCTATATTTTCAAGGTGGAGCATTTATTCTCTCCAAAATAGGAACTTATCCCAAATTTTGTCCGCAAATTACTACTTTTGTCCCTAAAGCTATCCTCAAATCATCATTCAAGTATAATAATCGCAGATTCACATCGAATTGTCCCTATATTTTCAAGGTGGAGCATTTATTCTCCCTAAAATAGGAACTTATCCCAAATTTTGTCCGCAAATTACTACTTTTGTCCCTAAAGCTATCCTCAAATCATCATTCAAGTATAATAATCGCAGATTCACATCGAATTGTCCCTATATTTTCAAGGTGGAGCATTTATTCTCCCTAAAATAGGAACTTATCCCAAATTTTGTCCGCAAATTACTACTTTTGTCCCTAAAGCTATCCTCAAATCATCATTCAAGTATAATAATCGCAGATTCACATCGAATTGTCCCTATATTTTCAAGGTGGAGCATTTATTCTCCCTAAAATAGGAACTTATCCCAAATTTTGTCCGCAAATTACTACTTTTGTCCCTAAAGCTATCCTCAAATCATCATTCAAGTATAATAATCGCAGATTCACATCGAATTGTCCCTATATTTTCAAGGTGGAGCATTTATTCTCCCTAAAATAGGAACTTATCCCAAATTTTGTCCGCAAATTACTACTTTTGTCCCTAAAGCTATCCTCAAATCATCATTCAAGTATAATAATCGCAGATTCACATCGAATTGTCCCTATATTTTCAAGGTGGAGCATTTATTCTCCCTAAAATAGGAACTTATCCCAAATTTTGTCCGCAAATTACTACTTTTGTCCCTAAAGCTATCCTCAAATCATCATTCAAGTATAATAATCGCAGATTCACATCGAATTGTCCCTATATTTTCAAGGTGGAGCATTTATTCTCCCCAAAATAGGAACTTATCCCAAATTTTGTCCCAAAATTATTATTTTTGTCCCTAAAGCTATCCTCAAATCATCATTCAGGTATAATAATCGCAGATTCACATCAAATTGTCCCTATAACATAAATTTCACCAAGGACGTTATTCCTAAATTCTTTATATTATGATCGCTAGATCTGATACCAAATTTTCTGATACCAAAATTCTTCTCCTTGCAAATATGTTTATTTTGTTTGTCTGTTGTCTGCTACGAACAGACATCACATGCTTTTTGTTTGTGAGTTGCTGGAGTTATCGAAGAAAGGCCTGTATGCAATTTCCTGTTTGTTTATGCATCGCTGTGGTTAGCCTTATCAAAATATCTGGGATATCTGACTAGGCAACCGAAAGAAATCCATTGTGGTCTCTAAATACGTTTATAGGATTGACGGACTAATAAATATGTCAGCGTTGTATCATAGTCCCGGGGGAGGGGGGGAGTAACTTCCACATACACTGTGTCATTTTTGGGGTACCTTTTTCAAATTGAAAATAAATTTTAGGGCTTCGATTTTGGTAAAATGACGCATGATCTTAAATTTTGGGATTGATTTTCAACAAAAATTTTGGGGTATTTAGAAGAAAAGTAAGTATTTAGTTTTCTTTTAGTTGTTTGGTTTTGTTCGATTTTTGCAAATTTGAATTAAGTTTAAGGTTATCGTGCCTAATTTTTTGGGTAATTTTTTCCATATTTCAAAATGACACAGCCCCATACTCTGCCTATTGAAGTTAGCCCCGGGATCACATTCGATAAGGTATTAAACTCTTCATTTTATAAAAAAACGTTTAGAAGAAAATCAGCATTGTACTAATCATCCCTTAACAAACTGCTCGCAATTAGCGATAAGGCAAGTAATTTTTAGCACTGAAATCAACAACAAAATAGGAATCTATGTGGTAATCCCAACCCCAGTTTCTTAAAAAATTGAGTGTATGTGAATTCGGAATATGAAACTATTTGCCAACTGATCTGCAGGGGCTACGCGTGGGCATGCTTTTTTGTCTTTTACCTTTATGTCTATAGTTTGAAATAAAAGAAATCCCCCTTCCAGAGCAAATAGTCACTAGTCAGAATTCGATCATTATTTATTCACATGACTAAAGGTTATTTAACTTGTGGCTTTTTTGTCTATCTTTTCGTTGCAGCATATTCATATCATATTTTCAATGTGTAGCTAGCCTCTGTTCCAGACCCCTAACTTTAAAGTAGAGAATTTTTACTTTAAAGTTAGGGGTCTGGAGCACAGGCTATGTGTAGCTTGCTATTACAAATTGAATGTGTCCAGCAAATGATTTACTTCTCAGTGCTTTGCGCTCAGTGTCCCTCTCTTTCTATTTTCTTTGTCGTTTGTGTGCTTACAGGGACGCCGGAGATGGGGGACGCGGGAGGTCAACCGCCCCTGTTGTCTTGTGATAGGAGGGGCAAGTGGGGCCAGAATGTCCTTTTGATTAATGTGCCCTTGAAACCAGTCAATTGTAATAATCAGAGAGATTCATATGAAATTCTGATTGTACACGTATTTTTTTATAAGAAACAAAGGTCGATGTTGAGTTCTCCAGTTTCTTAATGTTCTGGAAATTTCAATACTCACTGTTTCTTAAGAGTTTTTTAATTGTGATGTCATGAATGATGTTATGAAATCTTCGTGACCTTTTTTATCATGTCAAAAGATTCGCTTCCTTTCCGAAACTGTATTTACACGTGGGAAGTATATTTTTATCCCTTGTGTTATAAGCTCTAGGCCAACAAAGCAATCCTGTTCTTGGATTTTACAAAATTTTGTTGTTCTCAGTTTTATCACGATTTAATAGTTTATTAATTTTTGCCGACTGTTCAGTATTCGTTTCTCATAGCCAGTTTCTTATAAAAAATGGGTGTAGTGCTTAATTCATGACGAATTTTCTCTAAACTTGTAAAATTAACCTTATGCCCTCCTTATGCCAAAAGTAAGCCAATTTTCAAGAGACCTACAAAAGATCGAACTCAAATCACAGTTAGTAGAAGGAATAAGTACTCACGCCTGCCCCCTTGCCCCTTGGTCATTCCGGCGTCCCTGGGCTTTAAGGTCTTGTTTTAGCAGTTGCGAAAAAGGATGCACTTTTTTTTCAATGAAGAGGGTCCCACAACCAAACCCTTTTCGAAGTACCCCCTGCCTCCTGCCTCCTGCCTCCTTCTCTTACTTTCATTTATCTACCACAGGCTTTTCCTGATGGATAATATGGCTATATTTTGCTGTTTTTTCAGATACTGAGACAATAATAATTTCTTTTCTATGCTCGAATTTCTTTCCTATTTGGTTCGAGTTTCAAGCTTATGCAATAATCAGGCAACAGTTGACGAATCGAGCATCGCGCCTTTACGCCATCGAGCACTTTATGACAGACAGGAAAACAGTAATTTTCATTAATTTCTTCATTTACATTTCTTTTCATGTATATTCTCAGCATTAGATTATGTACATACAATCCTTGCCAAAATTGTTGAAACACTTGTGCAAAGCTGAAGCTTTTTTTGAAAAATATCCCCCCCCCCTACCCCCATTACAATGTTGTTCAATTCGACTGTTTTGAGGCTGAAGATAAAAATTTTTCACTGGAAGCTGTATGAAAGTACTGAGAAAATAAATCAACATTGTACGGGGGGTTGGGGCTCGAAATTTTTGAAGCGGCAGTGATATTTTGGTAAGGTAGTTTTAGACTTGCTTTGTTTATTTGCATGCTGCAATGGGAAGGCGTTCCAGTTATATTTGGCAAGGATTGTAGCAACAAAAGATGCAAAAAGCTTAATTGGGTATAATTACAATAAGGTTACAGAAGAATACGCATCAAAAAATTTCTTCACTACATAGATTATAAAATTATGCGTTCAAGTTATACCATGTGTATTTTTGTGCGTTGTCGTAAACATTTTTTAAAGTGGTTTGTTTTAAATTGATTTAATGTTGTTTTGACAGCTGTTTAAGGGCAGCTGAACAGCAAATCGTTAGCTTCCTCCGTTATCTGTGTAATATTTTGAAATATCTTTGTTTAGATGTTTGTTTATTGATTATTAGCAAAGTAAGCAACTCTGAATTTATGTTCCTTCAAGTTCTTTCCACGTGATTTGGAACCAACCAAAAGTGGTCGCACGAACAAGGATTAACGGATAGATGTCTTCCTCTCAGTTCAATTTCTTAAGAATGTTTTGACATAAACTGTTTTGCCTTCTTGTTACTTAAAGGATTTACCATTCCATTAAAGAAAAAAGTGTATATTTGCAAATACGAAATTCATTTGGGTTGATGTAGGAGATAATGGAATTTCCTTTCATTCTCCAAATCGATTTAATAATGGGCGTAAACTGTGTAGAGCATTGTTCGAAGTTACTAGGGCCTTTCAATCGTGATTTACTTGAATGAGATTTGGCCTTCTTAGAAGCTCTGTCAAGCTTCGCTTGTATAGCAGGAGTCCTTTTCAACCTATTTGCAGACGGATAAGGCTGAAATTTATCCATTCACCGAGCTGATTGTTCTCCAAAAACAAACGCGGCACAAGGGATTTCGCTCTCGTCAACTTCAGGTATGCAGGTAAAGCGAGGTCAAAGTGTATCAGTTTTTCGCTGTTTTGCGTGTGCTGTTGCCCAAATGCACTTGAGGAGTTGGTAATGAACAGCGTTGACCAGGTCTCTGATCAGCTGACTTAGTGGTGAACTTTTGATTGTCTTAATCAAGTCATCTTTTGTTGTCGGATTGCTGTTTTTTGAACATTGACATTCATCGTGGCCTGTTGTGGTTCTCGCTTGAAATTTTTCGAATTCGCTGCTTTCGAATCCAGCCCTATCCTGTTACAGAGCTCGGAGATTTGTAGTACTGGCATCGTAGGTCAACCTGACAGCCCCAGCAAAAAGCTTTCTAAAGCAACAAGCGAAAACAAGTGGAATGGGAATATTTGGCACCTAACACGTAAGTCAGAATCTCAATATTTGTGCTCTCATTTTTAAACATTCCATTTCGTGAATTTTGACCGATAATAGTCTGATTGCTGTTAAAAGACCACTTGAATTTCTTTGAGATCTGTGCTGCGTGCAACACGGGGTCAAGTTCAGACAACAAAAATTATAACAACAAAACCCATCTCCCAAAAAGGAAGAACAATTTCGCTGCCTCTGTAATACAGTGCCGTTCAAGGGTTCGTCAATAGACCCTAGCAAAAGGGTTTCATTTGGAAATAGCTCCAGAGATCATAACAAATCTCTTTTCTTATATCTTTTGTCAACAAAATTAATCAAAGTGTTAATAATTTCAATCCTTTTAATGGATTTACAAAGCTGATTAAAGATTTGGCTGTAAGCTCCCCCTTTGGGAAATTTGAATGTGAATTCGTTCTAGTTTTAAATTGAATCGTGAATTTTTTTACAATAGGAATTTCAATAACGCCCTTAAAATTTTGCATATACTTGCCCTGTCTAAACCTTGTCCAATTTATTTTGGCTTGAAAAAGATTTACCGTGGGAAATTGTTTCGCCATTGTTACATTAGAATTCGGGGCAGTGTAACAATAAACTGTATAGCCTCTTCTTCAATTGTGCATTTGTCCGCGCGGCATTTTTAAGGATATCTGAAGTTTATTCAGTGATACGGTGACTGACAGACTGACTTGTGACCATTGACATTTTGAAGAGAAATAAAGAAAATTCTCAGATAGTGGGGCAAAAACGGTGAATTTTGCTTTTTTAATGGCCCAGTACACCCTTTTTTTGTAAGAACCAGTAAATTTAAGTTCAGGCTGATTGTTCTTAATTATTTAGAAATTTGGAGGCTGGATTGTTCTTAATTTGTACTTAATTTAATAGGGTGTAAGCAGTGCGATTGCCAGCTTTTACGCTCTATGGAGGTATTCAGGCCTCTTTTGCCAAAAAAGTGAGTGAGACAACCTTCATTTGCCGCCAAGCTTGAATATTCACCCAAAAAGCACCCACACGTGGCTAAAAAATTAGGTTGTGTTAATTGTTTTAGGGAAAGTGTTAATTGGCCTCTTACACCTTTGTTAGCAACTACACTACCAAACAATGTGTTATTTCAAAGGCACCACACCATGCCCAGCCTTTGTCAACAATACCTGGCAATTTAGCCAGAAACAAACAATTTTTTCTCCTTTTTGACTTTTCTATTTATTCCCCCTTATTGCTACAGCTTTCCAACCCTTTTCCCCAACAAAAAGATATAAAACATATTGGTAACACGTTTGTAGTAAGCCAACGCTATGCTAGGAAGCGATGACGATGCTTTAGTGTCACATTGGCCACCGATGTTGCTGTTCCATCACTGGTGGGAGTGTTGATATACTATACTAAATCGAAGTCAAAGTTTTTTCTTATGGCATTTAAACGACTTCATTTCCAGGCAAAAATTTAATCAAAAATCTACAGTTTTTAAAAAGTAGTTTAACAATTATCCTTGCCGTATAAGATGAACATTCCCTAAACCTGACAAAACAGTAGGTTTGATATATTCAAGAACTTAAACTTTTCACTAAACTTAAACTTAACAATTGTGTCCTTTTTACTTTGGTTTTATAACGATTCGGGAAGTATTTTGCATAAGAAAGATTAAAAGTAAAACACTGACAGGAGTTCTGAAAATAACAAAACCTATTTGCAGTTGTGAAGCCTAAGAAAGAGCCTAATAGGGCCCCATGCCCCTAGTTAGGGGCAACACTGAAATGTAAATCACCATTTTCTACTTTCTGCATTCAATACTCACGCTACATACAGTAAAACATTGGTTTCTTAAGTTCTATTTTCTTAACGTATATCCTTCTTGGCCAAGGTGATATGAATTTGTACGAAATAAGATTTTGTGCCAATGAACTCTAATTTGCTTCTAATGCAAAGTAGTTTTGCTGTTCATTAAAATTGCGATGGAAAAGGTAACTTATCTGGTTTGGTCTAGAGCAGACTGAAGCTTCGTGTCGTTTTTTTCCCTACCCACAGTTAATTGTTATATTTATATACGCTGGTATCGAGCCTCGCTTTTCTACATGCCTTAATCGAAAAATATCTTGCATAATCAAGCGTTTTATACCAAACCTATATATCCTCTGAACACATCATTACCAGGGATTCTGTGGTTTGGACACACCCGCTCGCCATTTCTTTATTAATCTATTCGCAAATTTATAAAATCGGTCTTATATTGAATTTCAGATCAGAGAGGAAAAGAGCAAGGGTACTAATGGAGCGAGCTTTCACGGAGCAAAATAGCGAGATCGTCACCAACAACAACAACAATGGTACTATGCCAAGTGATAAAATCGAGAAACTGATTAAGTTGCAATTACTAAAATACTCCAGACGCAGGCGGCTGAAATCTAAGACAGGATTTTATTTAGAGATACGGGATGATGGCAGTGTGATGGGTACCAAAGACCCCAAGAGTCCTTACACAGCGTTGCAAGTGATGTCAATTGGGTCTGATATGCTGGCAATATGGGGTACTGAGGCAGAGCTATACTTGTCCGCTGGTGTTGATGGGAACCTGAAGACGTCAGGCCATGAAGGAAGACAGTGTGTCTTTATTGAATCTCTAGGGCCTGATTTTTTTAGCATCTATGAATCATATCACTCGGTGTATGTTGGAGAGCCAAGGTGTCTGATCGTGAATGAAAGAGGAGAGTTAGAACTTAATGAGCAGGGTGTCTTGCCTGGTGATAATGGACACTTCATGTGGGAGATAAACTGATAGAATCGGGGGATTTCTCGAACGCCCAACCCCCCTCTTTTAACTTTAGTAATACGTCCTAGATAATGTAAGATATTTGAACCAGTTGCTTCATTCTTGTAGTTTTTGTTTGTCAATGTTCAGCTTATACACGAAACACTTTGTACCAATCAATCATCTGAAAACATCTTTTGATTATTTGACAAGGTTGCCAATTTCTGAAAATAAGTTTCTCTCGTTTTGGTTAAATGCGAAAGAAAGGCATTAAGCAGATTTCTCTTGCGCCGTTTTTTAAGCAGTTTTCTTAAAACAGCTCTTTGTTGAGCAGTTTTTAGCCTAATATTATAAAATAACCGACTTCAGTAAATACGATCTCTTAATGACCGACTTTCAGTGAATACGCACCGACAAAACATATTCTTTCTCACAAAAAATGGATACCTGATTGTCAGCCCAGGTTTTAGGATAACAAGTCTTTAACTTGATCCTGTCTAAAAACAGTTGCAATCTTCACAAAACTAAGCAGTGGGCGAATGAATGGACATCATTCTAAATGCATTCGGAAGATTTTTATTCAATAACATTCAACTTTTTAACATAATAAGAGAATAAAGCAAAATATTAGTCTTGTTCGTTTAGCATTAACTTTACTTATTCATTTATTTACCATAATCAGTTATTGTGTGCTTTTTCTTCCTAATTCGATGTAAATCTGCCGGCCAGCGCCCGCTTAGAATTAAATAAGATCAGTTTATTAAACTGCAAAACAACATTCTTATTCGGCTACATAGAAAACTATAAATTGTATCCCATATCTTGGTAGTTGGTTCATCCCATTTTCTAATGACAAAATTGCAGAAACTCTCTTACGCCAGATTTAATCAGCTTTGTTTCAGTCTTTTGTAGGGTTAAACCGCGATTGATTTTCCAATGAGCTTCAATCCTTTGAATCTAGGACTTTTGAAGAATTAATCTTCATCCACAGCATCCTCAAAATAGAAATGAGATAAGAAATTAAATCTCAACACGGGACCTGACCACTGCCTCCTTGTGTCTGAATACCAACAAAGATTTCCCGAAAATTTCATCAATCAAAATATTTGAATGTCATTAAACGATATTTTTTCGTTTGTGATTCATTTGACAACTGATGAGTTCTTAAAAAGAATTGTAAATTGCCAAGTCACTAAGCCTGCAGGTCTGGCAAGCCAACATCGACTCCAATTTCTGTATCCGTTAGGCACATTTTAAAGCTAGCTTGGTTGTTTATGCCCTGTTCAAAGCCTTGAATTTCTAATATGACAATCGAGCTTTCCATAAAAGTCTTCAATGGAAAATTATATATATATATAAATATCAAAAGGTTATTTTCATCTTTCAGCAGTCGGTATTTTTAGTTAACCAGTTTTTGGTAAGTAAGGTTGGACTAGAGATAAGGTAACATTTGAGCCAGATTCGGGTGCGTTTTAAATGCATATTTCTAAGCATTAGAGGGAAAGGCCATGCTGTAACTTTCTTCAAAATTTATATACGTTACGTTATACGACTTTCCTAGAGTTGTATGGTCCATTGCATAGAGTTGAATGGATTAAGTGAAGTAATGATGTTTAAGTTGAGTAAGTTGGAAACACCCTAAATTCTTCTCTCTGTTTCATCCATCTGTAAATAGGTGTACTTCTTGCTTCAAGCATCAGTTTACATTCATTCATTCTTACGTTCATTCAACTTATACATGTCGGAAAATACATTAGAAAACATCAAATACGATTACGCTAAGCTATGAACTATGAATAAAAAAATCATCTTTGTTTTATATTGGATAAAATAAATTTTCCAACAAGCAATCTCTAATATTACGAGCCCGGCATTCTAAATCCCAACTTGAATAGCAATCATTAAAGCGTACGAGCATGCGATTTTCTTCACCATAATACCCCCCTCCACCCCCCTTATAATTTGCATCTCAGCTCGCCACTTCAAAAGCGCCTTAAAAGACTTTGATCACAGCTGTTCAACGTAGCAAAACGTCCCATTTTTAGTCAAAATTTACAGTTGTTCAGCCCCTTAGATCCTTCACATTCTGTTTCTTCGTGTGAAAAAAACTCGGAATTATATGCTTACTGCTTTCCCTACATATTGGCAAAATATTTCAACTTTCTTTCTGTACCTGGTATCTCTTTCATTTGTTCCTTGCTCTTCGAGAATATGCTCCAGTTCAGCTTCTAAATTCTAAAATATGATTGATAAGTATACTTTCATTAATATTGATTTTATAAAATTCCAAAGACGAAATCTGGCGACCCTTGCTACTAGCCTCCATTGACCTTTTCAAAGCACTACACTCCAGCTTCTCAACTTTCTTGCTACTTGTCTTATGTATCTGATATCAATATCTTAATCACTGCGGGATAAAAGGAACATCCGTTAAACGGTCGAAGTGTTGGAAAGGTTTCTGTTAGGTTGTCTTAAGCCGCAATTATAATGAGGTTAAATGGCCTCGTCTTGTTCTCACTACCTGGACCCGGGTTCTAAATCTCAACCGATATTTATAGAAGCTAATCAATTAGCCAATTATTCATTGTAGCAATTCCAGTGTAGACTGAGACAAATGAGTGTAGACTGCGAATTTCACCATGTTCACAATTTATGCATCGCTGCAAAGAAGTACCACACAACTCTGGTCTGGTCAAGCAACCAATTAAGCAGTTAGTTAGGTCGTTAGATAGATCTCAAAGCGGCTCAATACAGTCCCAGTTATAGAGCCAAATCTTGTACTATTTTTGATATCACTTTCACCCAGTTTTGACCTAGAATATTCCTGTATTGTTGTCCACACTAATAAACATGTCATACGTAACTGTTTATGTAAAACTGTTCTTTTCAATCACTTCAAATACTCATTCTCTGGTACGTATCTAATAATGGGAAAATGCTAGGGGCACTGAAATATAATCTTATAAAATAATTTAGTTGATCTTTCTATTCGATCTCTTCCCTCTGTTCGATTTGCTCCCTCTGCTTCAAGACCTTCAGAACTCAGATCCTTAGAGGGTATTGTACCATCGACAACAAACCAGATAATATAAAAGCTAATTATCACCTCATTTCTTCCAAACAAAATTTGCCTACCTCTATATTGTTTTCCAAAAAACTGTTCTGTTTTAAAATCTTTTGTATCTCAATCTAGGTCGAAAGGAAAAGATTTCCGAGTTAAGAAATGATGAAAGGCGAATCTTTTTTAAAAGGGAAAAAGATCACAGCTGCTTTTCAAATCGTTTCCATCCACAAATGATTAAAAGCTTTAATCATCTTAACTGATTATAATTTTTTTCTTTCGCGAATGATTAATAAGATTTCTTGATACATCAAAACGGCATATCTGTCTCATTAAAATAAGAGCATTTAAAAACCTGAAATTGATGTTTATCAATTATTCAGTTGATAATTCGTCACCTTATTCGATTTCAGCACCAAGATCAAAACATGAATGACCAAAAAATTCTGCTGATAACTTCATAAAAGAAACCAAACAACGCCTCTGTTTTGATAATTGGAAGAGATTTGACGGCAAAGAAATCATACAAAACCTAATTATACCAGATATCTTTAATAATACATTTTTGGAAAAGAATTTTCAATGTTTATCGATAGGAGTCGTACAACTGTGATCCAGCATCGTACAACTGTGATCCAGGGGTTAATAAACCAAGAAAAGATTAAATCAGATCTGCACAGATTAGAGCCTGTAAACTCGATCATCTTCAATATCAGTTTTAAAAGCATTTTGACAGGTCATGATGTAGGAATTGTGGGCGATTTAGATACTATATCCATTCTTAATGGATTTTTAAAAACAAAATCCTAAATGGAAATACTCGAAAGCATTTCAAGCATTTTAGCCTTTTCTCTGAAAATGCTCTGAAAATGCTTGAAAATTTTCTGTCTAAAGTTGAAAATCTTTAAATTTTTAAATGGATTTCAACTGTAGATTTCGTTATTAATCTTGATGTAACTCTTTTACCCTTTACTTTGTCTAAGTAATCTCGGAAAAGCTTTTGTATTAGAAATGACTTGGTTTTTGACATTTGCCTACCTCTGTCTCTTTTATACATTGTTCCATTCTCTGACACACGATGACAGGAACATAGTTCTCTTTTCTGTCTTCCTTCAGACTTGCTAAGGTCTCCATTTGCTGTTCGATCTGAAATTCGAATAAACCAGAAAGTCATCATCATAAACTCATGTTGGATACTAAAATTAGGTGACATTATATTAGTAGGGCTAGGTGAAATTCAAAGTTTGCAGGCATGAAACTGGGACAAATTAGTATTTTAACTTGAGGGGAACATTTATCTTTTTGACAAAGTGATAATTCCGGACAAAATTGCGAATATAAAGATCATTTTCTCATTAATTTTTAGAGTGCCTCAGATGCTGCAATCTGTGACTATTTTATGGCAATGTGCTTTTCCGAGATTCCGTGGCAGCCTTGAACTTGAGTTTGAAAACAGTGTTTGATAAGCTGGCTCCTTTTTGCAGGCTCTTCGAACGACAAAGCAAAAAGGGAAAAAGAAACGGAACATCTCTCCCCTGACTTTGTCTTCCCATCTGGTTGATAAGGAGAAAGCAAATTGATTCAAAAGGCGATAAGTTGGCAATCCAATAGCTGAAGTAACTCAAACTTGGCTATTTTTCTTGCAAAAATTGATTTCTGTTGACAAAGTCTTGCAGTGATGGTGGTGAAGCCCAGTGTTAGAACTGAGTCGAAGACAGTGGAATCCCGATATAACGAACTCTGAAGGGAACCAGTAAATAGTTCGTTAGATCGGAAGTTCACTAAACCAGGAGAAAATGTTTATTAGGTCTTTTCGCAGTTCACACTTAAAAAACTTTCGGTGGCCTTTTTTAGGCTATCTCCAACTTCTGTGCAAATTTAACTCCAAAAAACCAAGCTGAATTCAAATAATACTACTGGTTGGTCTTTGCAAAGGAAAAACTAAATGCTCCTATTGTAATTTTGGACCAAGAGATTGGGAAAGCTGGTATAACTTCACTTCTAGTTGGCGGCTGAATGACGTCTTCGATTATTCACATTCTTATTTGTCTTCTTCTGCTTCTCCATCTGGGTGTCTCGATAAAATCTTGTCGTCGCTAATTACCAATGTGTCATATGTACTAAGGTATTCATTAGTCAATCTCAATGTACCCATTCGCAGTAATTTCTGACGTGATAAAACTTTTTATCTCGTGCTCCGATTATATCGAGGGTAATTATGATGAAGGGACCCAAAATTTGCTTCGTTATATCTGCGGTTCGTTATACCGAGAGAATTTGTAAGGAGTTTGTTAGGGAGAATCCAAGAGACCAGACATTTAGTTCGTTATACTGGGAAGGGGAAGTTCGTTTTATTCGGGATTTGTTATCTATCAGAATTCCACTGTTTAAATCAAGTAGAATTAAAAGCGTACCTGACGATGCAGTTCTTCAACCTGTTCTTCTAGATCTTTTTTCTTTTCACCGATCGGAGTATCCCTTTGCGCTTTTTTGCTTCTATCTACTAAAAAATGATAGTCAACCAAATAGCAGTTGCGCTTGTCAGTTATCTATAGTGAATATTCTTGGATGAAGCACTGGCCATCGAGGAATACCCGTGTATGTAAATGCAACACATTAAAATTACGGGAAATGCAACTCGTGACCTCAAACTTTTTGGCGCTGTTAATACTAGTTTGTGTATTTATGCCCTTTTCCTCTCTGTCCTTAAAACATTTCACAACCGAGACATTTCAACTCTGATATGTCTTTTTTCGCCGGAATATATTTCAAAATGTGGTAAACTAAACCAAGTTCTTAGAGGTAATCACAAACCTGGTATTTTGAATTTCAGCCTGTCTTTAGATTTTTCTTCCTCCTTCAATTCGGCTCTCAGTCTGACAGATAGCAAGAATTGAAAAATGAGCAATTAGAAATACATACACATAAAAGCATTTTATTTTTACATAAATGTGTCAGCAAATGCTCCAGTGTCTTATGAAAAAATAGCTGATCGACTAAAAAAGTAGAGCCTAACTGGAAACAAATTTAAAGTTAAGTAACTAAATAGATAAGCAAAAGAATTGATACTGGTCAAATTGACAAGAGAAAGAAGTCTTAGAACAGTAGCAAGCGAGTTAAAAAGTTTAACATTTTTATGGCTGTGAAAAATAGCTTGTATTTAATTAGAAGGGCAGAGCAACACGTTATTTGAGGTTACAAAAAATGCTTTCAGTGATAGAAATGAAAGAATTGTCAAGATCATCCTAAGATTCAAAGTTTATTGTTCATTATCACTAGTCTGTCTCATTAATGGTTTTCATTGGCATCTCACCATCTAGCAATTCAAAAACTATTTTTATGAACAAGACCAAACATTCATGTAACCAAATTATCATACCTTTGTGTGAATAAAAAAATCACAGAGCGATGGCATACAGGGCTCTGATGATGTATTTATTGTTGTTCATGCTCATCGCATTGCAGTGTTTCTTATTTGCTACATATCCTACCTTTGTTTTATAAAAGTTCTGAAATAAAACATAAAATTACCTTTCATTTTCTTGTAATGTCTCCATTGCTTTCCTTTCCAATTCTTCAACTTTTTCATGTTCCTCTCTCACTTTCTGTGCCATCTCTGCTGACCCATATGATAGCAAGTTCAGCTGATCAGATAGACTTCCATTTTGTGTCTCTTGCAAATCCAACAGCACTGAGATGTATGCGTCATACTCATCCTGCAATGTGAGTATAATCTTTCCAAAAAGTTCTTGCACATGTCATATGCAAGGAATTTTATTTTGACAGCAATTTTCAATCACTTGCAGTTTACTGATGATATGGAAAAAATGTATTTTTCTAATATGTGCAATGGCAGCAAAACGTCAGTGTAAACATTTTTCATTAAAATTCTAGAATACCTTGATCATTCTGAGAACACTTCCGTATATTTCTGAACAATCAATCAACTCCTTCCAAGAGTCACTGTATGCCTGCAGACCATAGAAACTGGGAACCTTTTTGATAATATGTCTTGTTTCAAGATCAAAGAGTCTCTGAAATAATAATTTAGTAATTTCAGTAAAGGAATTTAGTAATTTCATTAAAGAATTTTGTTGTACTGTATGAAAGAAAAATATTCTGCTAACAGACTAGAAAATGCCTTCAAATTAATTTTTTCTAGACAATACTTTCTATGAATTCAGAATTTGTTATGGGCTAAATTGGCAAGTGTTTTGATTTGAGCATGTTTCTGATTCATTTGCTTTTCCTTTTTCATATGGCTGATGAAATGTAGCCAATTTTTTATATTTCAGGAAAACCAACTTCTCATTTGCTGTCTTACTTTGATAATGACAGCTTAGAAGTGTTTATATTTATATCTTCACATTTCAACTGCCTGAAAGACACTGTAAATTACACCACTGTGGAAATCATTTTGAGAGACATTATAGCAAACTTTATGGTTAATTTTGGTTGTGGAGAATAACCTGAGCTGTACCTTTCTTAACTTCTGCTCAATGGCACTGATTTCTTTCTCTCCTGAAACAATTCTCCTCTCCTGAACATCACTTTTTCGTATTATTTTGTCCTGAAACTCTTTCATTTTCTTGAACTGGCCTGACTTCGTTGGCAAGGAATGGTGTGTTTTTATGAATTCATGTTTCAATCTATACCTTGGTTCCCCTTTGTATCTTCCTGTTTATCATGAAAAAGAAATACAATTTCAATAAGAAAGGTAATTTTTGTGTTTGTGCTAAGAGATGAATTTAATACTAAAGCACATTATAATATTTCTTACAATTTGCATCAAAGCAAAAAATTAAAAATAAGGTAGCTTTTATTACATATTTTTAAATCAGCAATTTTTTAAAACATTTTATATAAAACTGCATTCAATAGTCAAACATATGTAGCATTTGAGCACTCTGATTGGTTACCTTGCTTTTTATAAACCGGAAGCATAAGTTCTGGCAATTCCAATTCCTGAGTGAAATAATAATCACATGGTATTCTCTTCTCTTTGTCAATAAATGAGGGCTCTGGTGTTGGACTTACTGGTGTGGTGTTTTTTGGTCTTTCTGACAAAGATACGCCTCCTGGAAGATTACAAATAAACTGCCTTTATTTCCATGTTGATAAAAACATCAAAACAACTATTAAAATATATTAATACTATGCCTTTGCAAAGTACTATGCTATGTAAACTTACAAATAAAACTGGAAGACCATATTTTATTCATTATAATAACAGCAGGTTATCAATTTGACTGATTTTGGTATCATTCAACATATAATCAAATTTAAAACCTGAAGGACCAAGCATGAAATCCATTACTGCTTCTGTCATATGCCGTTTATTGACATCAATAGGAGGCAGAAAACCTTGTCCTATTGTCTGGCTTTGCAACTTTGATGGTGCTTTGAGCCTACAAGGAGGTGGTAAATAATGAAAAACGGTAGGTATAGAATTTTTAATTCACCCAGTCAATATGATTGTTATTCGTTTTCTAAGATGATTTTCATTCTAAAATTAATACCATGTTAATTACCAGTTAAGCTATCAAAATAAAAAATTGTGTTAAGGAGCTACACAACTTGGAATAAAACAAGATTAATAAAAAACTACAGCCCTTGTAAAAATTTCTGAGAATGCCCAGTTGCTATTTTAAAAGAAATAACTGTTTCTGGTGAAAGAACAACACAGCAAAACAGTGTTGGCTACAGTTAGATATCATGGCTACCGAATCCATTAGACCACAACAAACCATAAAACTTTGCACTAAACTAGATTTTTTAGCTTTGTATTGTTTGTTTTTGAATAGTTTGGTACCTAGCGAAGGTAGTTTTAGGAAACTGAGAAGCTATGCTTTAAAAGCACTGTCATGGTCCTTTCTCTCAATTTGACCACACCTTGTGATTCAATCGTTTGGAATTACAGAGAGCTGGTGGCACTCCTCGCTCTGGTAGAAAGTTTGGTCATGTCAGGGACTCAAACCACAGACCTTTAGGTTTGTAATCAGCAACCCTAACCATTGAGCCATCCTTGGCAGGCATTGTATGTCAAGGTACAATGTACAAGGTACAAAAAACAGGGTAAAATTAAATTGAACCAAAATCCCAAGCATCATGATGTTTACAAAATAAAGATCTGGAATGGCATTCAACTTATATGATGCCTATGGAAAATAATGATTTGGAAAAAACAAAGTTGTGCTCATTCTGATCCTTTAAAAGTCATGTGTTGCTTACATTCACTGATGGTGCCTGCTGCTGCAGAAAAGAAGGCTGATAGGCGTGACCCATGAGACAATTTACCTTTTGGCTCAGTGCTGTCATCAGAACGAAATTCAAATTGGGGAGGGCTGCCCATTGTATTCCTTCTCACTCAGTACATTATTATAGAGGAAATATACCACTTTTTGACAAATATTCAGGGGCTGCAGCCCCTCTCCCAGCCCCCAGCCCACTTGGTTCCAATGGGCCTGCATCTTTGTGAAAAAAGCACCTGTATTCAATGAAGAAATTGTAGAGTCACATCGTCCCTTATGGAACGATTTAATTTTTTCATGAATTCTGACTGTGTGATGATAAAAATAAATATGAAGGAGTTTAGGTTTGTTTATCTTCAGGAAAAAGCAAAATTATTTTGCTGACGACATTACTTGAACTCTTTGCTAATTATTGTTTTTTAATTTTGTTCTTAAAAGCTAGGAGAATATTTTAAAAGTATTAAGCGGAATGTAAACGAAAAAGTTGTCATTAGACTTTTGACCCTTCTTTTTTTCCTGCACCTCAACTTTCTTGGTCATTCCCTCAGTCGGTTTTTCAGCTAAAACAAAACCAACCCCCACAACGTGTTTCTTCATCTCCCAAAAACGAATATTTGTTGAACCCAAACAAAAGCTTGCACAATTTTCATTCCCTGGGATTTTTTATCAGGAGCACTTTCATTGGCCTAGTGGCTTCTTTGATGGAATGACGGGCTTCCTGTTGTGATTCTCAACAATTCATGAGTGGGCGGCTGAAGGTGTGACACGTGATAAAGTCTCAATCAAGTAAGAAAACCGAACTGGGGGATAACTTTTTTTTTTATTTTTTACTCTGAATTTGAAAACAAATGGCTCAACGAAAGTCTGATTTGATACTGACGAATGATAAAGGTAGAAGGAAAGAAGGCAGATAATAATTCCCGGTTTTTCTCCATTTTGTGCTTTCCTGCCTGCCTAAATTTGAGTCGTTCGTCGTTCCATAAGGGGCGATGGCCTAAGTTTTTTTCACGAAGAAAAGTAGCCTGTAGTAATGCTGCTCGTGCAGAAAGAGAGAAAAGCCGATAAGACTGTCTTTACACAAGCATATAGATTATACAGCAAAGAATATGCTTGTAGTACTTTTATTTTATTAGGACGTACAAAAAAGCTGAGGAAACAATTTTTACTGAAATCGTTCCATAAAGGGCGACGTGACTCTATCAAAATTAGCAAGCAATGTTTAAAACTTTTCGAAAAACTTCCATCTTCATAGAATTTTGATAGCCTCACACCCAATTTTAAGTATGCAGCCTGATTACAGTTATAGGAAAAATTTTTGGATGTGCACTGGACATTCATAACTGCTGGCACTATATTTTTGTTGCTGGCAAGTGGCAACCAAGCATCAAGAAACCATGTATTATTCTAGCGACGTATGCTTCTGCTGCGAGCACTTTTTGAGTTCCAAGGTAGTATCTGCCTACGAGATTAAAATTCGCAACAACTATGTTTTTTAGGATTGCATGTCAATGCAAGAAAGGGAGAGAGACAACTGATTCCTACCTAATTGCAGGCTGTTTTGCCGATACCCACGATTCTCTGCTTGTTTGTGTAGGATTCCATAACTTGGATTCATTAAGATGGCCACTTGTTAGTTCAAGCATATCATTTTTGTGTACCTCTATGAAGTCTTCTAATATGTTTCTTAATGAACTAGAATCATGTTTACCAACGCCGGCCATTTTTACATTTTGCTCTTTTCGCTGCTTGTTGCCTGGCAATGATTTTTGTGGTTGGTGCTGTGATCATGACTATGAGACTATTTGAACAGGGCGGTATGTGAAGAAACTGAGATATGAGCAGAACAAGACTGCCGCATAATATTCTTGATTTTAAACAGGTGAGGATATTTATTATGATGAAATATTTTGATTGATTTTGATTATGCTTCAGCCCTCCACTCAGTATAGGCATGTGCTCATTTTGAGACTAAATACATCTGCACATTGTTATTTACACACTACGAAATTGTTCCTCCTCGATCTACAAAAGTTTTGGATTGAGGAACCTTTAAAATATTGGGGGCTCGGGCCTCCTTACCCGGTTCTACCTACCTACAGAGCTGATGAGGTAATCCTGTGCATGAGCTACAATAAGAAAATTGACATCCTATCCTTTACATACGTTATCTGTCGCATGATATTTAAATCCCTGTCAGCATCTTCTTTTTAGATCTAGAAGGTAGGAGGTATCAGGTTAATGTAAATGTAGATTTTTGGAATCTTGTAAATGTATATGTGATTGAATGCAAATCAAAGACTCCATTCTTGCCCCCAAAATATGTTTTCTTCACTTGAATGCAGATTTCTGCTCACCTTTTGATCACTGCCCAATATTTTATGCTCTGAAGAGCATTGGAGGCTGCATGGGATCCATGTAACCTACGCTGCATATATCTTATGTGAACTAACCATGTCCTATTGTATTTCTAGTGTTTATTGACTAGTGTTTATCTGGTGAGCTTTACTTGCAATCCACCTTAGAATTGAAGTAAAGCAAAAAGCATTGTATATTATATTTCTGCTTTTTAGTATCACTGTAAAACCTTTGCTTTTGCAGTTTTTGCTTCGCAGACAAGTAATTTACTTATACAGAGAAGTTCTGAAGTTGATTAAAGAGCATAAATCTCTGGACCAGCAAAGAGAATTAAAAGAGTGGGCAAGTTATGAGTTTAGGTCAAGGAAAAATTTGACAGATGAGGTATTTTATTTTCATATATGAATATTTTAACCTAAATTTTGTACTAAAGTTATTTACAAAAAGGAAAAAAAGCATTCATATAAGGTAGATTTGTGACAAGAAGTCTTCAGACATGAAGCTGCCTTTGCTAAAGTGTATTTACTTTAAAAATTCTTGTGTTTCTTGTTGGTTGGTACTTAGTATACGGTATCATATTGTTGCTGGTTTTGTTGACAAAATAAAAGATAAAATGTGTTTTTTCATTTCTGTGCATCTAGACAATGTAATTTCTTTAAGTCTTATCCACGCTGTGGGGTTGTCAAGTGAAATATGTAACAATTGCAAAAGATAAGTCTAATATATCTTCTAAAAAAAAATATTTGCAAGTCTTGAGATGTATCATTTTTAGTTTATGCAAAACTTTAAGTTCAATTTTGGTATATGGCAAGGCTACTCTATATTTGTTATTTTAGGGAGCAGTAAAGATGCACTTGGCCAAAGGAAGACTGGCTGTTAAAGAGCTAGCAGCTGCAATAAGAATGGCAAAGTGATGGAAGTCTGTAAATTGGGATGGCAAGATGTAAATATTTAGAGCCAGTTATCGATACGTTTGTCCTCATTAAAAACTGCGAGTCCTGCAACTGTTGTACTCCATAAAACTGTGTGTCTCCATAAAATATGAAAGTTGAGAATAGGTGAGGTATTCATGAATAATGTCACTGTCTTTTTTATTGTTTTATTTTAGCATAACAGGTATATAAACAAACAAACAACCAAACTTAAAAGTGTTTTTTGTAAATTTTAATGTAATTGTGTTGAATTACTATGACTGAATTCATTCAATCTATTTAGTCAAATATTTTCTTGCGCAGCTATTTATATGACTTAACTTTCATCATAACAGTTTTCTCTCCAGAGCTCTAAAATAAGCCAGTTTTTATTTGAATTTACCAAACAGATCTATTTCCAAAAGAATGTTTGTGCAAAAATGGGTCAAATATGCCTAGGAAGTAGCAGCCAAACATTAATTTAGTGTAATGGCAAGAATTTTCTTGTTGACAAGATGGAATTGGCAACAGTAAAAGTTATTATCATACCAATAAAATATCATGTAAAATCCGAAATGATTCAATGTATGACAAGTCCCATTAAAGAATAGGATAGTTTTGATCTTAGGCGACATAGGGTCTGAGGAATTCTATTTATGCTCTTTTTTCATAAAAGTGTTAATAAGAAGCTTCTGCAGCCACTTTTCTAAAAGTTTTAAGACAGCAGAAAGGTAAGAGGTCAACCTAGTTAGAAGGTCCGAGGTCAACTAGAATTCTGGAATTTTAGTAGGAGTTCGGATCACAAGGTTTAAAAATCAGCTAGATAGTGCCATGACTCACTTCAGCAATGCTCTCATTTTTACTACACGTGCCACTAGCAGAGATATGTTGAATATTAATTAGGATTTTCGGCAGCATCTGCTAGTTCCTGTTCTCATTAAAAGAGAAGACAAATTATTGCAGGAACCTGGGTAGAAGCAAACGAAAATGTCGAAAACATTTCTTAGGGTGCGGAAAATGGTACGGAATCTTGGAAGAAGTGGAGGAAAATATCTTGCACAAACTTCCGAAATGCTTCCTTTCCTTTTTTGTTATCAATAATTACAGCTCCCTAAATTGATAAAATCCAAGGGGGCAAAACAAGAGGGGCTAGATTGTAGGGAAGCACGCTGTTTGAAAATATGATACAAAAATTCATTTACGCTTTCGATGTGCAACGATTTCTCATTCAATTTGTTTGAAAAGGTTCAATTGAAAAGAACAGGGTGCCTTCCCTTTACAATACAATACAATATAATTCAATACAACAAAATACAATAACGATACAATCGATTCTGTTATTAAAGTCGTAGTCACATGCTTTAACTTAAATTTTTATAAAGTTATCAAATGATGAAGTCATGAAAGTCAAGAATTTTTTAATTTGGATACAATAACATGAAAGAGCATCATAACATTCCTCTAAAAATGTAAAATTAGGTAAATGGGTTGCGAAGTGGCTGGGGGATGGCCTCGAGCGTAAGCTATAATCCGGGACAAAGATAGTTTAGGATTTTCAAGTGAAATAACTGTTTTCTCTTTACTTTGAAAAATAGCTTTTCCCTTCCCCCGATTCAATGTTGAATGTACGATTTTGAAGCAGAAATGATAGAACTACAATACTGATTTGGGGAAAAGAGGGAGATTCAAATTTACAGGAGCAATGTAAAGTAGAAAATTGCATTTTGTCTCAACAGTTTTGTCCGGGATCAGTTTATCCTCAATCAATTGCAGAGACCTCTGTAATTTTGTCTCTGTTCATAACATTGGAGTCCGTTAGGAAAATTCAAATCTTTCATTTGCCATATATTACACATTTTTTTATATATTAAACCGATTTTGCTTTTTTTAGTATTTCGTGGTGTTTTTTAGGTTTTGTGGCAAAAATTCAAAAGTTCAAGAAATATATTTTTATGAAGTCACAGTTGAGAACTCTTCAAAATGTTGTAGTCGTACTGTTAATGAGTAATAAGTCATCTCGGCTTCAATATCGTTTAATCAAAAAGTTTACCGATTGGTTCAGAATATATTTGCACATTTTCAATGGAATTTAAGAATGTTTAACATCCATGAAAAAATCTCTGAGAATCTTTAGAAAACCTCACGAAATCCAAATGTCCCTATCAAATCTGTTCAAAAATCCGAAAATCTCGATGGGGATTTTAGAGATTTCAGAAATCCTGAAAATCTCGTACGCTATTTCAGGTAGTGAAATGCCCCTCGCAAAAAATGTTCACATCATTTTTCAATTAAAACCTCTGTGAGTTTTTTCTGATTTTGATGATGCAATCGTTTTGGATGGTAAAGTTTGAATTGCTGAGCATGAAAATTGCCGTTTTGTGGGAGTATGAGACCATTTATCAGTCATTTGACTGAATGTCAGCATAAAGCTAGCCAAGCAGAAGAACAGAAAAGCACAAGATGTATATCAGGCGAAGAGAATCAATGACAGTGAAAGACGGATACTGACGGTTGCCACAGAGATAAGAGAGAGGTAGAAAGAGTACAACCAACAGCTAATGAACGTGGAAAACCCAAAAGTGATAGTAATAGAAGTAACAGAGGAAAGGGAGATAGAAGAAGTGAAAACAGAAGAGGTTGGGCTGCTATTAGACGAATGAAGAACGGAGAAGCTGAAGGACCAGATAATAAACCAGTGGAAGCTTGGAAGGTTGTGGGAAGAACAGCAACATGGTGGCTAAAGCAAGTGTTCAATGACGACATCATGGAAGCGAAACATATGGCAGATCATTGGAGAGCTAGCACCCTAATACAAATATTTAAGAACAAGGGAAACATCCAAGACTGTGGGAATTACCAAGGCATCAAGCTGACCTCACACACGCTGAAAAGAGTAATAGATAAAAGGCTAAGAAACGGGTGGAAGTATCGGAAAAACAGTTCGGCTTCATGGTTAATAGAAGCACAACGGATGCAATATTTGCACTCCGTCAATCAATGGAGAAATACAGAGAGGGGCTAGAGAAGTTACACTGCATCTTTATCGATCTAGAGAAGGCGTACGATAGAGTTCCAAGACAGGAGTTGTGGAATTGTTTGAGGCTGGAGAAAGTAGAAGAGAAATACATCAGACTAGTACAGGATATGTATGAGGATAGTAAGACCATAGTGAAGTGCACAGCGGGTGAGGAGTTTGAAGTAACATTAGGGCTGCATCAAGGATCTGCGCTTAGTCCTTTCTTGTTTGCAGTAATTATTGACTATGTGACGGGAGAGCTGCAAAGGGAGGCCCCATGGGACATGCTATTTGCAGACGATCTAGTGGTGCGCGGAAAGACGAAGGAGGAAGTGGAGCAGAGACTGGGGTTGTAAGAAAGGCAGAAGACAGAGCACCTGAAACTGAAAGTAGGTGACCATGCTGAGGACGAGGAAGATAAAAGACTGGTAAAGATGCAGGGGGAAGTGGTGAAACGAGTAGAAGAATTCAAGTATTTGGGATCCATCGTGCAGGCAGATGGAAGGTCAGAGGGAGAGAGGTAGTCAAGAGGATAAATGCAGGATGAGGAGCATGGAAAAAGTGACCGGGGGGTAAAGTTTTTTAAAAAGGTACCGGAAGTGGTGAAAGTAAAGACGTTAAAACAATGATAAGGCCAGCTGCGGTGTATAGGATGGAGGCGGTAGCTGCAACAAGAGCACAGGAAAGGAAGATGCGGGTGACAGAAATGAAAATGCTGAGGTGGTCTTTAGGACTTAGTAGATTAGATTAAGTGAGGAGTGAAGAAATTAGAATACAGTGGCTTGGACATGTTGTTAGAAGGGATGACAATTACGTGGGGGAAGAGAGTGAGATAGTTGCAGGTGGGTATGCGAAAAAGAGGAAGGCCGAGAGGAAGATGAAAAGATAATGTAAAAGAAGATAGGAAGGAGAAAGGACTTTGGGAAGATCAGGCGCTCGACAGAGCTGAGTGGAGCAGGAGGATCCACACCAGCAACCCCGGCTAACGGGAAGGAAGCCAGAAGATGATGAAGAAGATTGAATGTCAGCAGAATTTCTGACCCCCCCCCCCCCCCCCCCGGTATTATTTGCAAAACAAAGGAGCTTTCAAATCTCACTTTAACTTGATGTTCTTACATATTTTATTAGAGATTTTCATCATTTTGTCAAAAAAATTTTAAATATCACAATAACATTTTCCTTTTGTAAATTTGAATTTCGGAATCGAGGCTGTTACAGCAGTATCGAGGCTGCCCATGTGAAATCTTCCGAAATTACGAAAAACCTCGAAACATGTCAGACTACGACTTCTCTTCCAGTCTGTCGAGCTATGGCTCGGGCAGTCCGTCTCTTGGGGCGAGTGGATCATCTGCCCAAAAGAAACAGGTCATGGATCAAGTGAGGAATCAAGTTGCTGTCGCTCAGGCACAAGAACTGTTGCAGGTAAAGTATTCTCATGTTAGGCCTAAGTGTCATGGTCGAGTATTCCGTAAATTCTGTATAAATCCATCCTTCTCTAGTAAGCTCCGGTTTCGGGAGCAGGAAACCTCTTCTATGTTTAGCCACAGCCACTCATAGTCAAAACTACCAAATTTTTAAGTAATAAATTTTTGTTATGATCTTTAGAGCGGAGAGACGCATTTATGTGTCAGTTCGCCGGTCTGCAGAGTATGGCACTTTTCGACGAGATCTCCGGTGTGCACGAGCAAAAAGCCTGGTGTGCCGGTGTGCACCACCAAAAATGTCTGGTGTGCTGGTGTGCACCGACTATTTTCCCCTGTTGTGGTTAAAATTTGTGAATTTGCATTTTATCGTAAAAATGCGTTTGAAGTATATATACTTTTGAAGATAGCGCAAGTTTTTATTTGTATATTTGTCAAGTAAGATTCATGATATCTCAAATTGTTCATACACAACTATGCTTGTTTTTATCAGCCACACCCATCTTAGTTGCCACACCCAAAAATATGGGTGTGCAACAGGTTTTGCACAAAAATATCTCCGGTGTGCACATGCCATACTCTGCAGACTGGTCAGTTCGTAGGTTTTTTCCTAGTTCGTTCTTCAAATTTCTACTGACATTAAAAGTACGAATCTTGCAGAAACTAAACATAAACATATTTTATGCACATTAATTTTAGAAAATATACAAACAACATTTAGATGTTTCCTATGTCTTCAGAAAGGGATTTCTTCTGAGCTTGTTTTGTTGAACAGGGAGTTTGACTTTTGTAGTTTTTTCATTTTAAATTAGTAAACACACAAAAAGGTAGGTGTTATGATGTTTTGAGTCGATGTAGTTTTCGTGCTTTGGCTGTAGTGTTGGAGATTAGTTCAAATCAGGTTGTGATGTTTCATCTCGAATGTCAATGAACAGGATCTTTTAAATCACATCAAAGAACATCTCAAAGGCTATCCTTTTTATGTAAAGTGCCTCTTATTAAGAAGATTATCAGCAGAAAATTGTTTCAGGTTTTTCACTTTGAAAATAACCTTTTGTTATGTTTATCCGAATATAAAATCTGAATGATTCTCGAAGGGTTGACTTCTGCACAACATGTTCGCCCATCATCAGATGAAGGTGGTAATGGATCATTCTCATCTGGTTGTAACAGCATTTCCATGTAACAGCTCTTGAAAACTTGTTCTCTTACTTCTGACACAACTTCCTCATCATTAGATGAAACATTTGAATCTGAATATGACTTAGTTGGTCCCTGTGTGTAAGCATTTAAACTTTTAGATTTCAAAGACTTCAGATGGTTGGTTTTATTAAGATTACGGTAAACGTTTTCTGGATGAAAACACCCATTTTTTGATTTCTTCATACTCTATTAGCCAAACTTTCAAGGCATACAACGATACCATGTTTGAAACTAACAGAAATTTTGAAAATGAAAGAAATCTCATGTAAATAAAGGTTTCTAGAATTTTTAGTTGAGGTCTGAAAATCTCTTGACCTCTGAAAATCTCTTGACCTCTTAAGGCGATTATCCTTGCCTTGCTGTTGTGGTCACATTTCCCATTCACAATATCGCTTGGCACATCCATGTATCCAATGTAGGGCCATGTTTATTTAAACAGGGTTATTGATCTTGAACAAACCCAAATAACATGACCCAGATTACACTGTGGTTTACGTCTGTACCTTTCAAGTGCCATCAGTAAAATCCTGTTTTCTCTGGACTCACAATTCCTCTACATACAGACACAGGGCACAACAAAGTTTGTAATATGGCAACAACTGGATCCAAGGACTGAAACTAACTGGTTTATATTTGTTACTTGCATCTGTTACAAGAACATGTGAATTGTTTCGATGATTTGTTTGTAGCTTCTTTATTTACTTATTAACAAACCTTTTCGTAATTTTTTCTTATTTGTTTTATCAAGCATCTAGACAGTAATATGTTGTATTTTTAGATTTTAAAACTTTCTGTAAAAGTAATCAAAATTTTCAGGTTGTACTATTCCTTAGTTTTTGGATGGACAAATCAAATATGTGAAGTTATAGATAGTACTGGGACTAGTCCATGAATGCTTCCTAATTCTGTCTTCTTTCAGTTATTCATTTTCTTCAAAGTCTTCAATAGAATAATCATTAATTCATATTGAAGTGTTTTCAATTTCTCAAGGTCTCTTTTTTTATTCTTTAGAAAATGTCTGATAAATGTTTCAAGAAATGTATTTACAGACCTGGAACTAGTCTAGATAGTTCTGAACAGGTATGTCCAGTGTTATTAGACATTGTTGTGATCTTTATACTGTGTTTAATTTGTTTTTAGCTCTTTTTTGAATATTTTTTTAAGGATTTTGGTGAATGAAGGGTGAATTAGTTTTTAAAAATTTCTCAAACAGGGGCAGGAAAGAAGTGTTTCTTAAGACAAGTTTTTTGTTGTTCAATATTAAAAAACAACTGAGAAATTCATATTTACCTCTGAAAGAGCTGAAACCTAAATTTAAATGGAATACATCTGCTATTACTGGATGTGCCTATTTTGTGAGTCAAAAAAATAAAATTGCAGTTTGAAATTTCAGTCAATGTCATGCATAATACAAAATGATGTTTAATTTTGCCATTGTCACAAAAGTCAACAATTCCTTTTCTCTATAGTTCAATGCAATATGAACGATAGTTGAAAACAAATTTATAAAGACTTCGGAAATAGCTGGTTTAATTCAATCAGATAATAGCTAAAAGGGGATTTTAAATTTTGAGTTGAGAGGCCCTTCAATTAGAAACAGCTTTCGTCTGTAATTCAATTTCCATTTGAAAATTAAATGTTCCAACATCAGTGCTTTTTCAATTACACAATCTTAAAATTCACAATTAAACACAATCAGATAACCCAAAACAAAAAAATTTGTGAATATTTAGATATACTAAGACTTGGGGTTTTTAAGGTTGAAACAGTGGAAAAAGCACTACATTTCAGTGAGAACAATTCACTATAATAGGCAAATCTTTTTCCTAGAAATGCATAGCAATGTGTATGGATCGATACATGGATTCTTGGAATATAGTTTCAAGGACATACAATGCTAGACTACAAAAGGAACATTCTGGTGGATTCTCATAATGAATATATACAAGCTGATAGTCTTATATTCTTGGAAATGTATGTGTGTTTGTAAATTTATTAACCAATGTGAACATTGGTCTTCAGTTTTGTTTCTAAACAAGCTCTGTTTGGCTCATGAAGATTTCAGAATTTTGCTTGTAAGGACATCTGTTAACAACTTTCTCAGGGACTTTTCATCTCAGGAACTGACTGTCACTTCCGTCCAAATGACATTCCCTCTTGGAGACAATAAGGTATTGTTTCCATTTTATTAACATACTTCAACGAAGGTTTCAAATTTTCTCGTCTTGGAGGTTGCATTTTTGCACCAAAAAACTGGCCAAATCAACACATTTTTAACCTTGTTCAGAGCCCAATAGAACCATTTCTGCCCCCAAAAAGTTGACTAATAGCTGCATTTATTTTTATGACAAAAATTTCAATTACTACTTAAGCTACTAAAGCCAAAGAATAGTTCTTTACTGTCAATTAGTACTTAAAATGGTTGAAAATTATTTCTGTGTGTCTTAGAAGTCAAGAGGGTACTGGTGTTGATTCTTTTGAAAATATCCCAGAGCATGGTGGCATTTTTTAAATATGTTTTTTAATAATTAATAAGCCCCCTCTTGAATAGGCTTCCTCTCTTTGAAGCCCCCATTCTAGGATTGAAAAAAAAACCCTCCAGGGTTTATTGATCTTTTACAGTATTAGCACATATTGTCTTTAAATATAAATTTGGTCTTTCAACCAACTTTGCAGCTATAGATCCTTCTTTTTTTTAAGAATTTATCGGTAAAGGCTGAAACACACGGTCCTTTTTTACGTCCATTTTCATGTAAAGGATGAAAAAAGGGATGACAGTAAGCTGTTTACACATATCCTTTAAAAAGGAGCGCTTTTCATTCTTTTCATCATGCTGCCCGTTTACTACTGGTATTTATTGCCAGGCGACAAAAAAGGTAAAATTAAAGCAATTTGGGTGAAACCATAGCTTCAGAGCAGGAGAAAAACAGTTTGGTTTCTGCAACTTTGCTGAATGAATTTCACTTGGAGGATCATGTAGAATATGAACGGTTTTTTGAGAATGAGCCTTGATATTTTGGGCAAACTTCAGCCACACACCGTGGTGAGGGACTCCCTTCTCTTTTTTTATAAGAACAACTTTATAAGAACACAAGTCTCAAGTTAAGAAATTGGTGAAATATTAAGAACAAACTGAGGCTGAGCTGCTGTAAAATACAATTTTGAACAATGTTTTATCTCAAAAAAGAGGATTTTTCAGCAATGTGTGGGTGCTTTTATGGTGATTATTCAAACATGATGGCAAATGAAGGTTGTCTCACGCACTTTCTAGGTAAATGAGGCCTGAACACCTCCCTAGATTGAAAAGCTAGCAATCACACTGCTTATACCCTATCAATTTGAGAGCAAATTAAGAAAGATCCAGCCTAAAATTTTTGAAAAAATTAAGAACAGTCACCCTGAGCATAAGTTTACTGGTTCTTCTTAAAAGGTGTGTAGTCTATACCAAACATTAGTACCACCATGTATAAAGCTTGTGGCTCTGTTTTAATTCCTAACCAGGTGTCATGACATAACATGGAGACATCCGAGACAAAAGGTTTTAGAACCTTGTAAAAAAGACAAAAGAAAAGCTGACTTTCCTTAGGTTTTTGGATACAGTAAATAAAGTTACTAATAGAAAAGATGAAAGGTTGAATGCTTTGGTAGAAAAATTTGGCACTGATAGTATGTGAACCAGGAGAGTTACATGAGTTTTCATTAGCCAGTGAAAGATATCTATATAGATCACTTGATATTTATTCTATAGCATTCATTTTGTTGAAATAAACATGGTTCACCTATTAAATACAAGTTGTATACTTTAAAATTCAACATAATTACACAATTACCATCAAGGTACACATAAAGTTTTTTAACTGTTTACTAAAGTTTTTAAGTTGTGTTTACTCAAGGAAATGCAGGCTATGTAAAACTTAATTTGAAATAAATTGGAGTAACCTACGGATAGTTACAGGTTTTTTTAGCACATCCTAATGACCCATTGATTAAAAAAAAGATAGAGAAATTGTGGTGAGACCCAACCAGCAAGGTCCCATTTACATTATAAATGCAAAAAACTTTAATTCATATAATGAAACAAAAATGTATCTTTATTGCCCCACCATGAAAACAGGTACAGCTGCAAACACACTTCAGAATCTACCATTACAAAAATTCACAATCAAACCTCCTTTTAAGAGCAGGTAATTTACATAAATCATCCAGACAGCCGACATTTTAAATATATACAATACTTTCATTTACTTTACAATGCCATAAGGACCCAGGCAAAAGTTTAAAGATACATTTTATGTAATTATATTTTCCATATATGACTCATTGCCTTCAACTCCAGATGTGGAAATTTTTGACATCATCTTGAGTAGATATTTCTGCTGTACTGGTTTATGACATAGCTCTTCTAAAGCCTGCTGGACTGCAAACCATTTTATTTGTCTGTTCTCTGCATAAGAAAAAGTCACTAATTAGGGATTGTATATACGAGGACTACCTTACTTAGGTGGGATAACCCAAACAAGTGAGGTCCGGCCAACAGATTTGTATATGGAACAGAGAATGTCCACATAAAAGTTGGCTGGCTCAACTAGGAGAGATCCCCCGGTGGGATGGATGGACGGGAAAGAAATTTTGTATATGAACATGATCCTCCCAGTCAAGTGAGATGGGAACTATCAGTACGAACCTTAGCATGCTATACCATAAGAGAGGATCTCTCAGCTTATACGAAAAGGCCCTTAGTTACATCACTAACAGTATGGCTGCTGCTGATTTACTACAGAAACAATTTCATTTTATCCTTTCACCAACAGACTTTTTCTGCCTCCTCTTTGCTCTTAAATTACAAAGCTATGAATGACTACATAAGTAATTGTAAAGTATAAGTAATTATAAAGGATACAATGCAAATTGCATACCCTTGTTCTCCATATAGGTACATTCGTTGTCCACTTTTAAGATATAAATGTATGTTCTGCTTTTTGACACATCATTCTGGAACAGAAGAAATGTACATCTGATTTCAGGCAGCAATTTTTTTCTTCACTTCAAATCATAATTTTAGTCTCTATAAATAGGAATGATGTAAAAAGCTATCAGGACTGAAATTAATCTCAAAGACGGTTGAATTGGGTATAAAAACAAGTCCAGTCAAACACTGCCTCTGACCATCCCTAAGAGGTCAGTTTCTGTTGATGAAATTTTTATTTTTCTGAGCCTCTTAACAGCTCACATTTTCCATTTTAAAAATGATAGAAAGAAATATGTAATACCCAATGATTTTAAGTCTTTAAACTATTTTGTTACTTTTTATCTTGGCACTTTCAATAAGTGGGTGCTTATTGATTTTCTTATAGAATGATCCGCAAATAAAAAATTGCACCACCTGCATGTGTGATAGAATAAGACGCTTGTTCAAACTTTTGGTTTATTCCTGAAGGGATCTTAAAAGATGCTTGGTGTTTATTCAAATCATCAGCATATTTTGATGAATTTGCAACTTACCTGGAAAATTCCAAGAAACCCCACAACACTGCCTCTCACACCAGCCTACAAAGATTTTAATACATATGATTTTCAGATAGAGAAGAGAAAAATCAATTGCAATTGGAAGTCTTCATCTTACTTCAAGGGCTTCCAATGTAAGCATAGTTGGGAAAGAAGCCGAAAAAGTATGAGAGGCAACCAGTGTGGCCCCTGTTAAAACTGATTTCTCAAATACCTTTTTAAAGAAGAAAATTGGGGTTTAAATGAAAACATTTGTTAAAGGGCTACCAATAGATTTGAAGAAATTAAAAGTGGTCTACCAAGATACAATTGTTGCTAAAGCTTGTAAACAGCTCAAGCATGAGGTAAAATAATTATATTTATTCGGAGGGCCAAGGCTGACCTACAAGGGTGCTGCTCAGTAGAAATGCCTGGTTTCTGTGACTATATACACTTGTATGCTTTTCTTGGTTTTTAATTGCTTTTCTAGGCCAATTACTGTTTCGTTATGAAGATTCCATTCTTCAGAGGCTTTTCCATAGTTCTAGATATTTCTATTTTTCTGAATCTTTCCAAGATGTTTGATAATAATGGCCTATCATGAATATTACTGCATAAAAAATGAGCTAGTGTCCTTTAAAACCTAATCAACAACCATTTCAGAGTGCTTTGTACCATATGGAGGCAAGCAGTACAACTATGCCAACAAAAGGACCATCCCAACTCACCTCTTCTTCCACTTCTCTGACAGCAGCAGAGACAGGATCTTCGCCAGGCTCTATAGCACCGCCTGGAATTATCCATTTATTTACATATTTGGAGCTTGAAACAAGGAGTACCTTCAAATAAGGAAGTATTCAATCAACAAAGATTTTTGACTTTTTTATAAAATATATGAATCAATATGTAAAATATGTGAAACACTTTAACAACAAAATAGATATGTTGCGCAACTTGCATAGTAACCCTAAAATAATTTTACTTTTTTGTTACAACTTCTGTGTTCATAAGCAACATTTAATTGTAAGTCATCCGGTCTCAGTATATTTTAACCTTCTTGGCATGGTGAATAAACTTTTCAGATAGTAAACACCCACAGGTAAAAATCTTTTGGGTTAAGAACCTACAGCAGTGAAAATAAGCCAATTGGGTGGTGGGGAAGTATGTTAAATTTTTCCAACTTTCTTGTTAAATTTATTTTCTCCTACCAACTTTTTAAGGTAGATTTTATGGTGTCAATGCATGAAACAAGGCTAATACAGTTCAAGATTGCCAAAACTTAGAAGAAGTCACATTAGAACTACACTGAGATCTGGAAAAAGATTTGCAACTTTAGATTCTATTGCATAAGACGATGCTCTCTTTACTGAACTTAATAATGTGTTATTTTGTTTGATTTAATATGACAGAAACTAAGTGCATATCTGTAGATTTTTCAAGGTTCGATGCCATCAACTTATCATATTTTATCATATCATATGTACTATCATATTTTAAAAGAAACTTAAAAATTGTGTTCCTTTTTTCAGAAAAAAAGAAAATAAACAAGCAAAATAAGCTAAATTATATTGATTTCCCGACAATTTCCAGGACTGAAATTAAATCTAAGGCGTGAAAGTATTAACAAACCTATCCAGCTCCAAACCAAGCACCCCTTACATATTTCCATTGACATGGATTCTCTGCCATGAAGAATCGCTAAATGCCATGATGGCTAGGCCCTGCCTAAAGTTATTGATCACTCGGGTATCAGATGTAAATTTGTTTACCTCACTTTTCCTTTCATCTTTGATGCAAACACAGCCTGCTCTTCTTTTGAAACCTTCCTTATCATATGTTCGCAAATCAATAATTCTTTCCTTCATTCCTGTCTTCCAGCTCGCTCTTTTTTGTTCTCTGCCACTGTCAAGCCACGTTTCCAAGCAGTGTGGTCACTCCAGTTGATGTCAAAACCACTCTGTGTCAAAACATTGGGCTTTGCTTGCGCAGGGTCAATTATTGCGCAATAGGGGTTGCTCTCTCCACGAGCTCTCGTAAATTCGTTACCGCAAATTCTCGAATTCGCCCCCTGGTAGCCTGCGTACAGACTCGGAAATTGAAAAGGGGAGAATTAAGCCTTGGCCAAACGATTCGATTTTTCACTCGATTTCTTGTTGAGTAAAAATTCGAGTGAAAAATCGAATCGTTTGGCCGGGGCTTTAGAAGATACCTCTACTTATTCTCCTCTTTTCAATTTTGTCAACAGAGTCTGCACGCAGGCTACCCCCTGGGAGCTTATTTATTTTTAATATTTTTGGATGGGGGCTTATTCGAGGGGGGCTTATTCGAGGGCATTTCTTATTTACTTAACATTAACATCAAAAATTTCGTCAGATAAATTTTAGGCGGATAAACACTTCATCTAAAAAAATTTCGGACCACTTTTCAGAATTTCTTCTCGAACTCTCTGAGGAGTTATTTCTGTATTTCCTCTTCAGCAATGTTAATTTGACATGTTTTCAGTGACGTATCGCACAGTGTCACCTTTATGCACAAAACTAAGGGTTCCCAAGCATTTGGGCCCCCAAGAAGTTTCTCAAAAGAACGGTCTTTTAATGAAAGCATATGTTTCTTAATAGCATTCACAGCATCATTGAAATGGGTAAAAGACTGGATATGGTTTGTGAATGTGAGCAACTATATAATAATGATGCATCATATAGCATGTCGATTATTAGGTTTTCCTCTAAAGCACATCCATATCATTATAAAATTTTGTATTTAGTTTACGAGAATATAACAGATATTGAAAAAAAGGTTCATTTCCTCCAAGGAGCGGTTTGAAAATATCAAGCTTACTGAACATGTTTTCAAATGCATGTTCAAGTCACATTTGTATACGCTGCATGAAAATCCAGGAAAAGCTTAGATGAAGATCAAAGAAAATAACTCAGGCAACAGAATTTCCCTTCATATGTTGTTTTATGTTCTTTCTTTGAGTTTTGCAGGAAAACCCCATACTTGGGCTCTAAAACCTGACTCAAATTTAGATAAGTATAGGGGCCCCAAAACACCACTTTTAATAAGGGCCCACATTGCTCCGTTACGCCACTACATATTGTAATTATACCCAATCAACCTTTTTGCATCTTTTGTTGCTATGTACATAATTTAATACTAAGAATATATTTGAAATAAAATGAAATGAACCGGGATAGCCCTTGAAAATCAGCTTGTTGTACGCAAACCTCCACGTTGGTACAAACAACAGCAACAGAACAGCAACACCAACAACAAAAACATCCTATTTTCCTCTTCCTTACAAGAAAACACAATCACAATGGCAATCGAACTAGCAAGGTTGCGGGAAACTGCCTTAAGGGCAATGAGAATCATTGGAAGTGCAGCGTAAGTACATAATTTTAAGCAAATTTTATTGACGCGAATGTATTTCTTTAATGCACAGCTCAACGGGCCATCACCAGTTTAGTCAAGATCTTGAATCTAAAAATTGCACTTTTATTGCGATAACAGATATTTTAGTCCTTTCCTTAAATTCATGACATGATTCTATGTAATGAAGAATAAGTGTTTAATACCCTTTTTCTTGGTATTTTTATCGATTGTTTAGAAATTGATCAATCGAGCCTCAAAAGTACTTTTTGGCATTTGTGTACAAGACTGGAGCTTGGGTGTCAAATTGCAAAAGAGCCAGCATACACTTTCTATACATTGGTGCACAATCTTCTCATAGAATGTCTCAAGTTTTTGCTTTTGTTATCAAAGGCAATTTCCAAGAACGTCCTTGCAGATCCTTTTCAGCATATTTTTTGTACAGTAATTTTTTAATTTCCTGCCATGTTATGACTTGTAAGGAGTAGCTAATACAAAAAAGACTGAAATGAATTTCACAATTTTATCATGTACAGTGATAAATAGACCTAATATAACCATTGCATTGTACCTCTGGTAGCACTACTAAAGGAATTAAGATATGGAAGGATATCCCTCCTTTCTGTTAAGTCTCAATGCAAAAAAGTCTTAACAGTTTCTTAAGAAGCTAGCAATCTAAGACTTTGCAAAATTAATCCTTAAGAATCCATTGTTTGTATCTTTTCTAGATTATTCTGGTCTTTAAGATACACAGTTTTTGTATGAAAATGATTTAACCTAAATAAAGTTAGTAGTTAAGTCAGTTGGCATTATTAGCTTATATTATTGAGAACAAATGACCCAAAATGTCTGTCCATACATAAGGCCTCTCTGTTTGAGGCCTGTGATTGTGGGCCCGTGCCTCAGCACATGCCTAGGCTAAACAAGGTGCACATTTTGTCACACACCTGCTTTAAGAAAAAAGCCATATCGTGCCTCTTGGTCATTTCCATTTTGTAAAGATTATTTTTTTATCAGAAACTTTGTTTTGTCACCCCAGAATCATCTAAAAATGACAGTATTCACAATTTAGGGAATCACATGACACAACATGCATGTTAATTAATGGGTAGCTGTCTTTGCTAGTTGAGTTTGATGAAAGAACCACTCCAAATAAGTGTTATTAAGTATTATCTTCACAGGAAGGAACTTTTTTATCAAAAACGTTGCTACACTTTGCTCAGTAAATTACTGTACCTATGTATTCATGTTGGGATCAATATAGATGTCTCTAACACTTCTAACTCCTTTGGTACCACAGGGAAATTGCACAGCAATGCTGTAACATCAGAAGTAATGACATTTATGCTATTTTTTGCTATTTAAACTGAAAGTTATGAATCACGCGTCTAATTGAAAATTTTTGTTTTGAGTGGCCTGTTCAGCCACTTTTAAGGTGCCCAATCATATCAAAATCTTAAATATCTCATTTAAAGGTCACAAGTTGCATTAATAAAACAAAAGCGATTGGAGTGGAATTCCATTGTTTCATGACTTTTCATTTCTTCTTCTTGAATTTTTACTTCTGTAAAAATTCACCCATGATACCATGCTTTGTACTAAGCAGTACTAAACAAAAAAGATAGTTGTATTGCATTAGCCAATCATGTTCATGACACATGCCCTTTAATATCTCAATTTATTGTTTGATCAATGCATATTTTGCTTTATTTTGTTGAATTTTAAAATATATTGCTTTATCTTTAGTTGGATTTTGTAATGAATGAAAGAATGATTAAAAATAAGTATCTAAAACTTTTTCAGATGTAGAAGGAAATGTGTCTATTAGTAACCTCTCAAAAAATTTACTTATTCAGATGAGCACTTAGCCTGAAAAACGCCAGGTTTATCTCAGTATTGCAGCAACACCTAATTGAAAATATGAAATTATGTTAAGTTTTTAAAGCAAATTTATATAATTGTTTTCTGATTTCTTAGTGCAATCCTATACTTTAAGGTAACTCTTGTCTCTTACAATGAATTTGATTTTATTTAAATTAACTTTTTCAGATGCCAGTGCCCAGCACATTCACAGGCTCACTCAGTGACAAGTGAGTGAATTTTGGTGAAATATTATTGCAATTTGATTTTACTGCATGGTAATGTTTTTTGTATTATTTAATTAGGGCACTTCACTTCCATATAATTAAATTTTGCACCTAAAAATACATGTTATAGATTTTGGGTGCGCAAACCTCCTTCTTAAGCACTCATTTTTAAGAACTGTATTAGTTTGCATGTTCAAATTTTAACTTTTTTGACAAACAAACTTTAAGCAATGTGCAATACTGCCATGCTTTGATTCCCAGATAACAGAAACCAACTTTGTATAATGATTTAGGTACTTATTTTTTTAGACAATGCAAGCCATTCACCATTAAGTAAAGAATATGCTGTTGAGGTCAGTGAATATCATGATTTTGCACAGAAATAATTGCTGTTACTAATTCATGATCTAATTATTTCACTTGATTAATGCAAAATTTGCTGTACTTTTTTGCAATTTTTGGCTAATCATTTTCAGTATTTGATTGTCCAGTCAATGAATGATTTGCTAAATTTTGTTGCAACTATGAATACATTCATCTTCAGCTGGAAATCCTGTTATCGGGCAGCATTACTGGAAAACCCAGATTGTGCAAAAAACTATAATGGTGACATCTTTCGAATTATTAGTAAAGCCCAGTCGTTGTTCCATCTAGCAGTTTTGGAGCCTATCTACATAGGTATGAAGAAACCGTTAAGGTATGAAACTACATAGGTATGAAAAAAGAGTTCATTTTCAACTTAGGACTCCATTGGTAGCATTTTCGATAGGCATGCAGCACTGATTGGTCAACCTCAACAGTCATGTGCTTGGTTTTCCTATTGACCTATTTCATTCCACAAATGGGTATATATATTTCCTAGCGTAGAGTTTTCGGTCTATGTTCTGACGTTTTAAACTCTGAAGAGTGTCAGACGAAATGCTTTAGTTTACTCAAATGTTTGCTTTTTTCAAAGCCATTAACAATTTTTTTTAATACTTTTGGAACTTTGCTAAAGGTATTCTTTTTGTGTTCATGACCATAGGACATGGTTATGTATAGGTTCAAAAAGGCTTCATTCTGACATTAGTTCCTTCAATCAAAAGGGTAGAATACCAGAATCTAGAAAAATCAAAGTCTTATTGGTTAACAGAATCTTAATTCCAGCTGAGTTTTATAAGAAAAAACTTCCAGCTGTTGTTTACATTCAACCTTTATAGCAAATAGATTTGTATGTCTTTTGTACCTATGACATTTTCAACTCCTGTGCATAAGTTTGGAAATTATTGCCTATCTGGATAAGTGCCACTGACACTTTAACAGTTTGATGTAGGGCTAGGGTCTTGGTCCTAGTGAAAAAAACTGCTATTTGCATCTATTAGAGGTAAAGGCAATGTAAATTCTTCTAGAATCTTGTAGGAAACTACTGCACCATTAAGAAACAAGGTATGTCATGTTAAAGGGTCGAACAAATAATGTTTATTGTCGTATTATTCTTCTGGTGCAAAGGAGACTATTTGGGAAAATGGATATGCGGCTTGAAAAGTATCAGAGTAAATGATGAATCAGTATTTCAACTTCAAATCTGTGCAAATTATCTCTTTCAGATGGCATGCTCAAACATTCGATATGGAGAGGGTGTGACCCAAGAAGTTGGAATGGTACGTCCCTTTATCGTAATTTGTATATCTCGGAGAAGCCTTTTTGTTAAGAATAAAAAAGTCGCTATTTCATAATTATTCACTGGATTTTTTCTATAGTGATCAACTCAATGTAGATAGTTACCTAAAGGTCAGGTAAAGATTGAAGCTGAAAGTGGAAACAGGAACTGTTGATGAAATATGTCATTCTGTTTTTCACGAAAAAACATTTTTCTGAGACTAGCTTTTTTCGAACCTGCAGTATTTGGTGTGTCATGCGATGCCAATCATTGCTTTAATCGTCTTGATTAGATTGCTTTAAATCTTAAAGGCTGACGAAACTAATAAATAGACCAGCTTAAATCAGAAAAAATAGCTGTGAGGCATTTCTTCTGCAAAAATTTAATTAAGCCTTTCAACTGTTTGTTTACCAAAGATTAGGCATAAATCAGAAAAAAAATTATTACAAGCGACATCCATAAGTAATTAGCATCCTTGCTTGTGTCCAAGTTGATTTCCAATGGGAATGGCTGAAATTTTCTAAGCTTGATGAACGTGAATGTGCTATTTTATGAAATATCATGCATTCAGGATTCTGTTGCAAGTTCAAAAGTGTCTAGGGTGTTTGGTTCGCAAAAATGTTGGTCACTTCTCCCTAACCCACTGTTTTCGCAGACCCTGAACATATAATTTTTTTTATTTTGACTGATATTTTGCAGGACCTTGCAAATCTTGGACTGAAGAACATAATGTTGGTTACTGATAAAAAAGTAAGTGTACTACAGTGGACTCGCGTAAGTCTACTTGAAAAGCTGTGACTGTAAACGTAATCTATGGGATTAAATTGGAGACTCTCTCGTATTTAGGTTTAACTTTTATGTTACAGTAAACGGGATTCTGACTTTGAGAAAAGTGACTCTAGGTAGTGTTGTATGAAATTGCAAATTTTTGTTATATCTAATGTTTAGTAACGTTAATCTATTTCAGAAATTTTGGCATTGGAATGGTCTCGATTCTGCTAATAGCTTTTTAGGAAAAGGTCCAATAGTGGAAGTATTACATTGCTTTGTTCGTCAGCTTCAATATACCTAACACACAAAGACGTGCATCCTTTTTTTTAATACATACTATAATTGTCTTGCTGAAAATGTATTTATCTTTTTTTAAAATCTGAATGTCAATGTGTAGCTTAAAAGCTTGCCAATACATTGTAGGTTTTATAGAAATATAAAATTGTCATGCTTTGTTTTGTAACCTAATTTTATTTCAAAGCTCGTGAACCTGCCACCGGTGAAGCAAGCTGTTGAATCACTTGAAAAAAGTGGTGTACAGTTTCAATTATTTGATGACGTCAGAATTGAACCAACTGATTCTAGGTATGTTGAAAATGGTGACAATTTTATCACAATCAAAGTTCCTAATTTTAGTTTTATAGTTGGTTATGTTCTTAGTTTGATTTTGTGTACATTTTTTCTAAGAAAGTGTAGGAATTTGAATACGAAACAATTCTTTTCCTTGGCTAAGGATAGTCCTGACTGATCATCCAATATGAAAGGAGACTGTCATGAAATGATATTTAATTAAGAAGGGGACGACCCCCTATCACTTTTTATTTAATTAAGAACTGTCTTTTTGAGCTTGTGTTAACTTTTATGAGCTTAAAACCCCCATAAAACCACAATAATGTTTTCAAGATTCTTTGAATCAATTAGGGGTTCCTTTCCATCAGAGCAGGCATAAAACAATATTGAGGAATGTTTCTTCAATTGAATGCTGCTAATGATACAATTTCTGTTGAAAATTACTTTATGTGTTGCCTTGTAGCAGAATTAGCTTCAGCCGGTACTTATTAAGTTTTAGCAATTGTTTGTTTAATCTAGCTTGACTTTTTCATTAGCTTTTTAGCTGCAATAAATTTTGCGAAATCTGGAAATTTCGATGGGTTTCTTGCTGTTGGTGGTGGATCTGTTATTGACACAGCCAAAGCTGCCAATTTGTACCTGAGCCATCCAGACAATGATTTCCTTGATTTTGTCAATGCCCCGATTGGTAAAGGATTGCCAGTCACTAACCAAGTAAAGCCACTAATTGCCGGTAAAACACCTGTTTTAGAATATCTTCGCTTCTAGAGTATTACAGAGTTTTGCTTATACTGCTTCTATGTCACGAAGATTACTGTTGACCAGTTGATAGCACTATACCGTATACACAGAGCTTTACACGCTTTGGTTTTTAGAGCTAGAGGCTTCTTAGTTGCAGCTTCTGGTTTCGCTGTCAACGCAGTCATCAAGCAACTGTTACTATTTCGTGTATAGTATAATGATGGTATAAAAAGCAACAAGTATAAATTGCTTATGCTTATGTAGCTAGTTAACAATTTAGTCAGTAAAAACGCTAGACATTTTTCTTCCTCTCATAAACACTACAGTTTATTAACTTTCACAGGGCAAGCAGTTATAGTGACGAGTATTCTTAGCATTGTATATCGTGTTACATGCAATCGTTATCTTGGGATAGACCCATTTCTAAAGAAATCCTGCTAATAGCAAATCGAATAATGGATCACAAGGACAGGCCATTCTTAAACCTGTGGCCTGTGACAGGGTAATATCTCTCAAAATGCCACGTATATCTAATTTAAGTTTCTTTGATTGCTCTTTGACTTATTCATATTCAAGTATAAACCAATACTGTTTTTACTATATTCATTTTTGTTTCTTTCATTTTCCAGTACCAACGACTGCTGGGACAGGTAATAACATGCCTAGTTATAATTCAATGAGATCTATTTGAGATCATAATTTAAAAGTAGAGGTTTTGTTGAAGTGGCACCCTTGATTTCTTCTGATCTATTTATGATTGTCGACAAGATGTTAGGGTTTTTCGTCTTTTGAACAGTTTTTAAACATTTTTAAAGAAATGGCTTTAAAAAAGGAAACATTTTGAAAATTTACTTGAATTTTCTTCGAACACTTTTAAGCGTACAAAAAGTCAGAATACTGATCGAAAAATTTAAGCTAGAAAACATATATACTCATTTGTAGATCGAAATAGGTCCATCTGCATCGCGATCACATGACTGAAATGGTTGCCCAATCAGTTTCGCCTGCTTTACTAAAGATTGTCAGATGCGAAGCTTACGTATATTTCAAAATGTTAGCATCTTCAAAGCGAATTTTAAATTTTTTACTGGCAAAAACTGTTTTATAGTAAAGCAAAGTCATTAGTTAAAAACAATGACCAAAAGGAGAACTGCTTTTTAAATCAAGTGAATTACACGTTTAGACCGTTTGTTTGCATTTTGCCGGTAATAGTCTGAGATCCATTTTGTTCTTGTGTAGGCAGTGAGACGACTGGCATTGCAGTATTTGACTACAGCCCCTTGAAGGCAAAAACAGGTAGTTTGAGAAATTTAATGTTTATCTCTTATAAAGAAATTAAATGTTTGATTATTGCAGCAATTAAATAAAGCCAATAGGCTATGCTAAATATAAGCGTGACCGTTTTATTACTCCTCGTTGTAGCTATCTCAGTATTTTCTTCAGCTATATTAGAATTTTGAATTCTCGAGGTTTAAAACGTCTGTAGTTTCCAATAAGTCTTTCCTAGATGCAAAGTCTTTCCTAGATTGGCTCCGAATTTATTGTAAATAATAATTTTTTTCCTATATAGCTATATGTATGATACTTGAAATCCTTTCAAGGGAGAGTGATTTGTTTGGATATATAAAAATTCAAAATTTTCAAAAGTAGGCCTAAGCAGGGGGCAATTATTAAAGGAAGAGATATTTTGTTTGGATCAGAACAAATGTGAACTATTTGACTAGAACCATTTTAATATTGATAATTTTAACATATATTAATTTCAATGAACCTGAGGAATTCGAGCTGAAGTATGGCTCAGATGTCAATTATGCTAGTCTACGATATTTAGTAAATTTCTTCATCTTCTTGTCCTAAAATTTTCCTAGCACATATGATGAAATTTTCTAATTTTCTTTTTTATGTAGTGCCGACTATCAAGCTTGTCTTTCATCGTGAATATTTGCATTAAGATCTTTTCCTATGTCCTAGGCATTGCAAACAGAGCCATTCGCCCTATGCTTGGCATTGTAGATCCACTACACACAAGGCATATGCCTAAAAGAGTAGCAATCAACACAGGATTTGACGTTTTCTGGTACGTTTTAATGTTACTTCCTCTTTCTTTTTGACATTTTGAAATACATGTACGTATAAATATCATAGTAACGCACTTGTTTTTGCTTGAATCAGTTCTGGTTGGCCTTCTCAGAAAGAAACAAAATTTTCTTCTTTTTTTCCTCTTAAGATGTTTTTAAAGATTTTCTTGAAAAAGCATGGGCTTTCAACCTTTCAACATTGATGTTTTATCCAACGTCAATGATGTCTTTAACATTGTTTTAGCCAAGTGAAATAGTTCAAACTGCTAGGAAATGAAGAAAGATAATGCAGAAAATGTATTCGTTCGGTAATTTGAGGCACATCAATTTGTGATCTTTATATAAATCTGCTCTTTACAACTCCTATTATCAAGCTTATTGCACTCATCAGACAATTGTCATGTATGCATATATCTGTCAATTATTTCTATTGACGCTGATTAGCATTGTACCCAATTTTGTTTGTATAGCCACGCTCTTGAATCGTTCACTGCCATTCCATACACTGAAAGATCCCCAAGGCCTGCAAATCCAAATGTGAGACCAGCATATCAAGGAAGGAATCCCATCAGTGATATATGGGCAAGGCATGCCCTCCATATATTAAAAAAGTATTTCAAAAGGTGTGTTTGGATTGATCCATTTGTCACTTACTTTTAAAATGCAGTATTTACCTCGATACAAATAATTGTGATGAATAAAAAATGTTTAATGATATTGGAGTTCAAATTTCCACGCTCTTTTTCTTTCCAAGTGCTTGGACCACGATAAAATCTCAAAATTTATGAATGGCGTGAATGAGACAAAATTGAAGTAGATGATTTTTTTTAAAAATCACAGTGCTTTGTTTTCTGAATCTTTTTTATGTCAAGCTACCTGCATACGTGTTCATAAGATCTTTAAGGGGAAATTTAGGTTTGTCAGTGATGGTCTCATTTTATCCGTGAAAATGTTTATTCTTCAGATAGCTGTTCTTTAAGAAATATTTCATTTTTATCTATTTAAAAAGATTTAAATTCACACAACTTGGAGTATAGTATAGAGTATTGTAGTTTAACCCCCTCCCCTCCCCGTATTAGTCTATCATATAATTCAGCCAGCATGGAAAACAGGAAAAGAAGTGCCAATCTATTCTGGCTGGTAGCACTCGAAGAGAAGGCAAATATTCATTTCCCTTCAATTTTTTTATTTAGCTTTTCTTGGTGTCAAACACGATACGTAAAATAGTCATTGCGCCGTTGTCCCCAAACCTTAAGAAAGAGCACTGAATTCTTTTTTTTTTGATTTTGTTATTTGTTTTTGAAAGGTCTTCAAATGACCCGGACGATATGGAAGCACGTAGCAACATGCACTTGGCTAGTGCTTTCGCAGGAATTGGCTTCGGCAACGCTGGTGTACATCTTTGGTGAGCTGATATGTAAATCTTATAGAAATTTTCGCTTCTTCCTGATGGCAGTTAATAGCCGCTACTCTTTCTTCGTAGTGTTCATTTTAAAATTCTTCAACTATTTCTAGATCCTCTCTTGTTGCAAATTTGCATGTTTAGGTTTTTGACATTGTTTTTCAGTTTCTTTCAAACTTCAATTTCAGTTACAAGCTCTAGTTACAAGGATTACACTAAACTACCAACTGAGGGAGAACTCCGCCTTTGACTTATATTCTATTCCATGTAGCTTTGCTCAGCAACTTTTTGCAGTTTTAACTGAGTTGTGTTTGGAGCTAGTTTAAAGGATTTTAAGGCATTTTAAGGGAGTTTTTATTGTTGTTCTAGACACATGTGTTACGATAACTGTAAGAATTAAACCTAGAGCTTTGGTTTATTGGCTGGTTTGAGCAGAAGTCTCCAGAGCATATTCCTTGAGCTGAATACGTTACGTTTCTGCTTTAATCAATTTGCATATATCATAAATTTATTTGCTTTGCTAGAACTCTTTTGCAAATCAACTTTTTATCATATGGCAACCCTGTAGTGTGAGCCTTTGTCGAAAGCTGTTACTCTGAATAAAACCAAACAGCTTTCGGTCTTTCTTGATTTCTTTTTTCAAACATTTCTCTTCCAGCCATGGTTTGTCGTACCCAATTTCTGGATTAGTGAAGGATTTTTTCTCCGAAGATTATGACACAACTCATCCTATTGTGGTAATTTGTTTTATTAATAATTCTCAGATGCTCTTATAATTTTAGTAAATGTATCATTTCGTCTTTATTCACTCTGTTTGTTTTTTTTTGTCATTTTAAATATAGTTCTTCTTGAAAGATTATTTGCATCTCACCCTCCACTCGTCATGACTTTAGCGTAAAAAGCGTCTTAGTCTGTAGTTCTCCCTGTGTGACGTCGTCTGCGGAAAAATATGAGCAATATTGATGAATCGATTTTCTAGTTTATTTACTGATATATATAACAGATTTTTGGTAAAAAAGTTTTAGAAATTTTTGGAAAACCACTTAAAACAGAGCGTTTAAGAAAGAAAACAGAACTTCTGGGTTTTTGAACAGTATTTGAACTATCTTAGACTTCTATATAGATTTTTTGACAAAGTCATCATACACGCACAGGGTAAAGCCAGACTCAAAAGAAGCATTTGTGATACAGTTTGTAATTTGCTTATTTTTTCCAGCCTCATGGACTTTCGGTCGTCATAACAGCCCCGGCAGTGTTTGATTTCACTGCTCCCACTTGCCAGGACAGGCATTTAGAGGCTGCAGAGCTGCTAGGTAAATATTGCAACAGGATACCATTTTTGAAATTGTATGAAGGGAAATTCAATAAAGCCTTGTGTTTTTTGCGTTTATAAAAAGTTTGATTTAGGTAAAAGTAACGATACATCTGAATTGGAACCTGTTTTCTGGATCAGTTGTGGAGCAGAACTTTTAAATGTTACCACAATTGTACAGCGGTGTGTGTCAACTACGTCTGTTTGACAGCAAATTCTCAAACCAACCGTATGCCTAGGCCGTTATCCATCATCTGTTCCCTCTCAAGATGTATTTTCCAAGTTGTATTTAATCGCCTGTAAATACGAATAGATATCGTACTTGATACGATACTTAAAAAAAGAATATTCCTGTTTGTTCCTTCACACATATGGCAGCACACTTTGCCATTTTAATATACGCTTCCACCTAATGGTTACCGATATTGAACTGGAGATTGTACACAAGAATCCAACCAGTAATGAAAAACTGTCGACAAAATTGGCTCCCTATAAGAAAAGAATAGAACAAAATATGATTTAACAGTGTAAACATTTTTTCTATGGAGTACCAGCGTATTTTCTCGAAATGTTTTACCATAACGACCAGAGTTGAGTACGCAAATATCAAAGTTTGAGTTAGACTACAATCATCCTGGAAATAAGACCAACTCTATCTTTATTGCTGTCTTTGCCACTTTTATCAGTTGTATTGGGGTGTTCTGAACTAGTATTTTTTATAGTAAACATGAAACATGCATGCTGCACATGGTACTGAACATAATTAGGACATAGACATATTATGACACTTGCTAGTTTTATTAAGGGCAACTAACATATCATCTTGAGAATGAACTAATAAAAGTATGCATGATTTATTAGCCAAGTTTCCGGAAAATTCGTACATTGCGGTCTTTTAGTTACGCTTATCAAGTAGCGAGAAGAACTGATAGCACATTTTAATATCGGGATCCTTTTGAGTTCACCTCAAGAAGTGTGCATTTTGTGGATTATTTTCCATTTCTCAGCTAACTATCTTTGGAACATTGATCTATCAGAAGTCGTTCATGGCCTTAGGACCGTAGGGGCTATGACCTCACTGCTTTTAAATGCGTCGAGTTTACCGGAAATTTTCTTCCTATACTTTTATGCTTAAGGCAAAGTCAAACAAGTTTCTCGGTCCGCAATGTAACCTAAAATCACAACAATGACCCTTAGTGTTTTGTTCTTTCTCCAGGTACCGACATCAGCAATGCTAAACAAGCTGACGCCGGGAAGATATTGAGTGATACTATACGCCAGTATATGTATGATCTGGGCGTTGAAGATGGATTAGAGTCGTTTGGTTTCTCAAGAGACGATATTCCAGCACTTGTGAAGGGTGTTTTACCCCAGCATCGGGTGACCAAGCTAGCCCCTGCTGGTGAACCGGCAGAAGAGGAGTTCTCCGCTTTGTTCGATAAGTCAATGAAGGTGTTCTCGTGATGACAAAGTTGCACGATACTTTTCTGAAAAGGAAAATTATATTTGTACGAAGTAGGTTGACGAGTAAATGAATGCGTTGACAGGTTGAATGGGTAGGGGAGAGAGAAAAATTGGTTGCGATCACTTTTGTTGTTGGAAGCCTTTCAGTTAAAAATATGTTGTTTGAATTTTTTAATTATCAGCATGTCGGTTATATTCACAATTTACCGATGGCCAATGCCTTATGATTAAAAAAAATTTTCTCTGCACAAAAGAGAAGTTTTCCAGCTCACCAACAATACCAAACCAGATCTTTTTTCCTTACCTAAATCGCAAAGTTTTACAAAATCTCCCTCTTTTGCGTTGCTTGTCCATTTTCATATCTTTTCTTGTGTGAGAATTAGAATTAAGAGCATTCGATAGTGTATTTTATACATAAAATATATATACATAAAATGTTTTTAGAGGTGCAGGTTCAATTTATATAGGTTGACAATTTTGAAAGCAAATTGTTGCAGTTTGCTGAAAGCCTGCAACGACCTATCAGTAATGTGTAATCAACTCTATCATTATTATTACTGAATTTTGTGTTGGGAAGGGTTTTTTTAATGTTGTTGAATGTGATTTCTATTCAGCGACTATTACAACTGTTATACGTTTTGTAGCTGAGTTGGTGTACTCATTAATCTAAATTTTAACCTAAGCAGATGCTGGCATCCCAGAAAACAGAAGTTGTCTTTTTGCGAAGTTTTCATTCTTATTATTTAGATTAGTATACTGAAAACAAATGATCAAAGGAGTTTATTTTGAAGTGTTTTGGGCATTTGGGAAAATGTTTCAATGGTTTGTGTGTTAACATTAAATTGGTCTGACAAGGTCCTTACAAGCTCTTGTTCAGTTAAATTACACTACTGGCAGGCAAATTCTTACAAATATTTCAAAATTTCTCTCAAAATGACAACAAGCAGTAGTGTGGTAGCAGGGGGGCCAGGGGGCCATGACAAAATCTGAATATGGGAGTAAATGGAGATAAAAGGGGGGCGCAAAAATTGACTCGGCCACCCCAGGAAAAACATAGCCACCGCGCCACTGACAACAACCTTGCTACTTGTAATTTTTAAGATACTGGTTTCCAATCTCTTTGGGATATTTTCACAGTTTCAGTGACCTGTATTTTCTCCTGAAAAGGTTTTTGATTTAGAAAGTTAGCTACGCATTTGATCATCTGATGAAGGATAATAATTGAAGTAGTTTCCCACAAATAATTTGCTAGGCAAACTCAAAAATTTACTAGAAACAGGTATATCATAGCGTTTTAATGGTGATTAGGAATTTATTCAGAGTTAATTTCACGCAGGGATTTTGGCCTTAGCTAATTCGCCTGAATTGGAAGTTGTTTGCTAATCGTTATGGTCTTTTGTGCCACACTTCCTCGCGTTTTTCTAGTATCCGCTATTTTAGTTTATGTGCAATGCGGGAAAGTTTTTTTGCCTCCTGAGGATTTCTTTTCTAATACTGGGGTACGATGCAGGGTTCGTGGCAATTTCATTCCCTTGGTTAATTTTAGGGGTATTTAAGGTTTTGGCATAACATATTGGCCTCATCTTGCTTGTGAAGCCTCTACAAGTATCTTGTTTATTTTGGCCCTCCCTCCCTCACTTTGTTCCTTTTTATAGAAATGCTTTTTCTGTTATGCTTTGGGCTTTGTGTTTCTTTTACGTCTTCGTTAAAACTTCACATACCTTAGGCATCTTATATGCAGTTTAGCGTTCTTTGGTACTATTAGGTAGGACTGTTGGATGAGCCAAAGTTCCAGATCCTAAACTATTTCAAGTCTGGGGCTCAAGTTGTATTGGATCGGCTCTTATTGGGGAATAGAGATTTTTCTTATCCATTCCCTCCCCCCATCCATTAACAACAAATTTTGGGGTTATTGTATAACTTTCCTTAGTATCCCCTTCCTGGTAGAGGTTTTTGGTCGGTTGTGCGATTTACGCCGATGCACTAACGACCCAACTCGCTCTCCATGACATGGAAACGTAGCCTCAATCGCGACTGACTTTCTGATATCAATGACATATTTTTCTGACAGAGCTTTTTCCCCTTCATTTTTATTGGTATTTTATTCCAGAGTTACAAAATTAAACAGACTATAGACAGAGGTGTCTGACACTTTTTTGAAAGTGCTACTCAACAATTGGGTAAGAATCACATATCTTATCGTACAACGAAACGTAGAGCTGAGAGCCTTTAACCATTTTTAGAGGAGGTTGACAGATTTATTACAAGTATCGCTTTGACTTTAACTGACCCTCGTTTTGGTATAATTTCACAGCCTCCCTTTTGCGTGGCGCGTAAAGTAGCGGAGCGCGCGAAATTAGGCCATTGTATTCGAGCCAAGGACATTTCACGAGCAAAAACAAAAGTAATCAGAAAAATGAAGGTCTTCACACCTGAGATCTCTTGGCATCAAAAAGAGCCGATATTCAGTGTCGATTTTTGTCCGGGAACCTGGAAGCTAGCTTCTGCTGGAGCCGATTTCACTATAAAGGTAATATTTTTTTCGTTTTGCGAAGTGCATTGCATCACAAATTTCATTGATCTCACTTTATCATTTTAATGAGATTTGACGCATCCAACTTAAGCCAGTGTGAAACATTTTGCTGAATTGTAGTCAGGCCCCGCGCCACTGATCCTAAACTGGAGGGGCCACCGATGTAAAGAAAGTTTCCTCTTACCCCCTCTAGCCTCAACTGTGGCAAATATTGTACATACATATATACATACATACATACATACATGTTTTATATTAGACAGGTCGATCTATGGCAGCTGTGCAGCTGATTGTGCTGATGCTGTTTCACTTTTTTACTCCGGTTCAGTGTTGTAACTCAAAGGTTTATCTATAAAAAAACGGCGCGGGTCCTGTTAGTAGTATCTTTTTGCAGCGTTTTGTTTATTCTCTTACTTTAGGACTGTGAATTGAATTAAACTATCAGCTAAAAGACATTGACTGTTGTCATCTATAATATGCTAATTACACAGTTGACTTCACTTGTAGTCAATCTTCTTGTTACAGTCTCTTAAAATGTAGACCCAAATATGCAAAACTATTCAATTTTGCTCCATTTACAGTCCAACCTTGATTATGTTACAGTCACACAAATTTTCAAGCAACATTTGGTGTGGCTATGACCGGAGTTTACGGTAAAACAAGCAATTTGAAAAACATGGGATTGAAAAATTAAAGTCAAAATTCAAAATATTGATACTTCAAATGCATAGATTATTTTTCTGTTTTCCAGATTTGGTTAGTGAAGGAAGATGCAGAAGAAAATGCTGGTTTGGACTTTCTTGCTAATCTAGACAGACATTCAAAGCCTGTGAACTGTGTCAGGTTTTCTCCTGATGGTAAGATTATATGACCAATATCTCAATTTGCACAGTTTATAGACAAGATTCTTTATATTTTAAGGTAATGTTTTTTGATAAAACCTGGTTTTGTAATTATCATCATTAAAGGATTTTAGAAAATTTATCAATTTGCAATTTCTTTGCAAGTGAAAATATTGGAAAGAATATTATATTAAACACAATTAAAATTTGCTGATATAGATATATATTGATATAAATAATAAATAATAATCTTTATTTAGATTCTACTTGGTTTATTTCCAGTGTTATTCAAATGCTTGATTAATGAATGATAATTTTTTCAAGGTAAATATTTGGCATCAGCTGGAGATGGTAAGCCTATTTTATTTTTTAACTCCAGATAGAAGTTAAGTTGCAATATTTAGGCAAAAATGCTCCCTCAGAAAAACATGCAATAGACCTCAATAAGTCAATCATGAACAAATATTTTTTATTGTTGGTCGGCCCAAGATGATAGCAGATTTTGTCACAATTTTTTTGCAATTTTTTCTTGCCTGCCCCTTAATTGATAATGATTTTATTTTCTTCTATTGTTTAAACTGTTAAGAATTGTCTTGTTTTATTCACCATTGCTGTTAGATGGCAATTGCGTTGCTTCTGTGTTGGCAAAGCTCTGACAATGTTCTGGCAATTCTTCCAGAATCATTGCGATGACTAAATTATCTGTAATATTTTTACCAACCATTTGTAATCCAGTTGCTGCTCGTTCAGCTCGAATAATGAAATCCTTTATGTCATCCTCAGCAGCCATATGTAACGTGTCAATTCCTCATACAACGTGAGAACTCTTGGTTTTTCTGTACTTGCATAATGCTGTTTGAAAATACTGAATGCTGCTCGACCGTCGTTTGATGAATCATTCATTATTAGTTGTAGAAAACGTTTATTAAGAGCTTGTATGAGTTCAGCATAAGCTCGCCTATTGCTCTCTTCAAAACCCTCATCTTCTTCTTCACCCTTAATGGCATTGTATAAGCCTTTATCCAATGTGTATAGACATTGCCCCGAGATCATTCTAATGGAAGACGTTTTTTAATGGGTTCCATATCGTAATATCAATTCTCCGTTTTTATAACTCAGCTAACTACCAACAGCAAAACATGCAAACATACGTAAACCAGTCTTTGTTAAGGAATCTATTGAGTAAAATATTTGTGTGAAAAGAACTAAAAGGTGACATTGTTTTGTTTATTGTATAGCTAAAGATTGTATTCTTAACATCAACATTTGGTTTTAAATGTTTTATGAACCATATTATTGAAAACTGCATATAAATTTGCAGATTGCGTTATCATCCTTTGGAAATTATCGGAAGATGCAGATGATATGTTTGCAGAGCCCAGCCTTGGTTCTGAGGATGTTGTTAACAAGGAAAAATGGGTTGTTCATAAAATGCTGCGAAGGTAGAGTTTTCAAAAGTTGATGTTTCTTCTAGAAATCAAAAATCAAGTTTTCTTTGGATTTTTTGCATTAATTAAGGGTGATGTAATGTGGTGTTATCTAGTGGAGAGAATTATTTTGGGCCTTGAATAATTTTAATGCCTTGAAAATATGAAACAGATAATTTTTATCAATAGCTTGATAGCATATTAATTTTCTGTTATATGATTTGTTTTATGTCTATATTTTATATATCTATATTTTTTGTTATATGTCTATGTTTTTATTATATCTGCATGTCTCAACTTCTGTGCACTGTCTTTACCATTTTTTGTCTTATTTTACATGCAAAGAACGTAGAGCCTGAAAGCATCAAGTTGTATTTGATGAATTTTATGCAGAACTGGGCTGAACTGAGCTTACTATTTACTATAAAAATACTAATCCCTCTATACAAATTGAGTTTCTAAAATTGACATGTAATATGTTAGAAAAGTAATTGCTCAGAAGTGCATGTAAAAGTGATGCATGAAATAAACAGTGTGGCAAAGAGAAAGTGAACATTAGGGATTAACAGATTTGTGATTTTACAAGTGATGTAAAGGATGCCTGTTTTGTGATGTAAGAATGTAAAGGAATGAATGAGATTGGTGAATGAATGAAAATGGTGTAAACAGGCCTAAGCAGAGTCAGTACAAGATTATTTTATGCAAATATTTCATAAATTGTTAAAATTTATTTGTCAATGATTCAGAACATGTTAACTTTATGTGGATAACATATAATTTTTTTTTGATCACTTTCCTAATCTAGTTGTAGCTACAACTTATTGTTCAAGACCCACTTGTGGTTTCAAATTCTAAGGGAAGCTGAAAGTATGAGTTATGTCAACATTCTAAACTTAGTACACTTAGTATTTTTTATTTCTTTGCTAATAGCTGCTTAAGAGAATATGTTTTGAAGTGCACCTGCCATTTATGAAAAATCAAATTTTAGCTATTAAAAAGTTTTTAAAGCACTTTTGAAAAGCTTTGATTTTTTAATACAGAGGACATCTTGAAGATATATATGACCTTGCCTGGTCCCCAGATGGAAAACAGTTGATTTCAGGTTCAGTTGATAACAGTGCAATTATATGGGATGTTTCTAAAGGTATGATATTTAAATTCTTGACTTAATATGAGCAAGTTTTTAGTGGAACATTAGATTGGTGTATCCACCAAATACACCTATCTATTGACAAACGTGTTGTTACCAACTCAATGAGGCCTTTTTAACATTTGGAGACCACAGAGCCTGCGAGAAAGACAGTATGTTGCCTGTAGAACTCTTATATGATGCAATTGAGAAGACAAGATTTAGGCTCAAAGCAAGAAAATCTGAGTCAGGATTTGATTGGATGATGTAATGATGATGCAATGTAATTAAATGGATAGGGACAGGTGATTCAGTTTTTAATTTGATTAGTTTTTTCGTTCCAAATTATTTCCCAGCAGCTTGATCAAAATAAGTTTTCGGTATATTTATACAAATAGACTAAGTACGTTTTCAAAAGAAGTGGTTAAATCAGTAACTTCTTGCATTGCTTACAATGTATTGCTTAAAGCATACAATAAAACCAGAAATTTATTCCGTAATTTTATGTTGATTGTGTATATCCATTTGAACTATGTACCTCTTTTAATATATTAAATGGAAACTTTTTTGCAGCGCCAAATTCAGTTTCTGATATCTTGAGCATAATTTTGATAATTTAGCTAAACAAGTTTGAAAAGTTTTTGAAAATTTGAATTTTAGGTCATTTTACCAATATTATCAAAGACCATAAACATTATGTTCAGGGTGTTTGCTGGGATCCCCGTGGACAATATGTTGTCACCCACTCCAGTGACAGGTAAACTTTTATATTCATAATTTGATATAAGATTTTGCTAATGGATCCTTGCTTGTCCATCAACACTTCTTCTGAAAATATTTCAAGAAGTATCAGACCAATGGGGGAAATCCACAGCCTGCATCGCAGACTGGCAAATTCATGACAAATTAGTAAAAATCATAAAATATATCATGCAGGCTGTGTTGATATGCCATGATCTTGCTATTGAGCAAGTATGAAATATAGATTTTATCAGCATAATTTTAGCTTCAATCAACCAAAAATACCAACAAAAAACTGTGCTTTAACTAAAATTTTTTTATGTTGCTAGCAGCTTATATGGAAGTAGAATTTATGTTGTCACCTTGCCCTTCCTTATTTACTGCAGGCCTTGCATGGAAAGGGGCTTTATCAAGTGCAAACACCTAGAGCATAAAGTGATTTTGCCCTGATGAAATGTATTGTTTTAAAGTAATGTTGATCAAACTTTAGCCATTGTTTCAAATGACTGCATATTATGATGTATATGACTGCATATTTGTACATCGGAATCTGAACTTCTTAGTTTAACACAAACTATTTGTGATCATGTGATTCTCATGATATAAGAGATTTTATATTCACCTACTACAAATGTAAAACTCTCTTGCTTTAAGCCTCTATGCTGCTATGTGTCTGAGAAAAGAAATATTTAAGTATTTATTAGCAAGATAGTAATTCAAGTGCTATCAACAATTTAAATGTGCCAAAAGTTGAAATTCCAACCAGCCCTCTCTATCTTGAAAAATTAAGTATTTTATTTGTAATGTAAGTGACATAAACAGAGGCATGGGAGGATTTGTAACTTAGTAGGTAGAAGGAGCAATCTATTGTGGTCACCATTCATCATGAAGTCCTGGCTCTTGCAAACAATTAAAGTTTTCTAAAAACATCCCATTCTGTCTATTTGTTCCTGTGGAAAAAAGTTAAGCCTTTTATCATGCTGGAAAGCTTTGATGTAATGTTCCGGTTTTGGCTATCATGCTTAGCAGCCCATTCTTATATTAAAAAGGGGAAGCATGTGAAAAGTATTATAACAATAAAGTCATCTGGTTGCCATTTGTATATGATAACAGTCACAGCAACTATAATGAAAAAAGCTTGATTGAACTTCAGACCTTTAACTTGATGGCTGATTGCAAAGCCCTGTTTTAAAAATAGCAGCTTTTTTCATTTCAGCACTGCAACCCGTCATTGCTGTTTTTATAAAAAGTCTAGAATGTTAAATCTTGCTTCCATATACCTTCGTAAAAACTCTAGTGTAAAATGTATCATGTATCTGTCTTTGTAGGACATGCCGTGTTTACTCTTTGTCAAAAAACCGATGTGTGCAGACTATTCATAAATCTTCTTTTCCTGTTTCCGTTCCAACAGAGGATGTTAGTAACCCTGTAAAGCTTCTATATCATTATTTATTCTGTTGCCTTTCATTTCTAACAGTCATTAGAAAAAAATGATTTTTTTGAGAGGACCATCCTTTTTGCTCACAAGCTTTTACGTTCCAACAGAAGATCTAAATAATCCTGTAACTCTATATCTATGCTTATGACTTATTCTAGCAAAAAATTTAGTTGAAACCTGGATATTTCTATCAATCGTGAAGAACGTTATCTATTTATCGATGGTATTTCTTAGAACTTCATTCATTGCCAATGTTTTCAGTGAAAGTCTAACGTTGAGGATCGAAGATTACCGTGCTAAGTGAATAATTATCTATCCTTGTGGTTGAGCAATCGTTCTACTTATTTTAGGGAAAGAATCACAAGACTTCAAAATTGTTCATGGATGAAACAATGCAATCATTTTTTAGAAGATGTCAGTTTTCACCAGATGGCCTTTTGCTTGTACTCCCTGGTGAGGAACCTCCTCCATGAATATTTTAATGTGATTTTGCTGAAAAGCTTATTCAGTTTTATCAATTATTGATAATCCAAATTATCGTACATGATCTGTACATCCCATTTGCAACTTCATCGTTGTTTACATTAAAGTGAGACCAGGTGAAGCGTGTCCTGATTCATAAGAAGAAAAAGAAAGAAAGTTTTTTTCAAATGAATGAAGGTCATCGAATGCCATTTCCAAGCTGTGTGACTGAATGTTTTGAGTGCTTTGGTCTATTATTTTGTTTTACTCTTTTCTTTGATGACTGCATTACGCATAAACTCATGATTGAGATATACTGCTTTTCCATGGTACTTGCTGCATCCAGCTAATTACCCACTTCTTTTCACGCTTGCGGCAGTACGCCCCTTCCCTGGAAATTTTTTATAAAAATTTTTACAAAGA